TTCATATACGGGTTGGCCGGTGAACGGCTGCGCAGCGCGAGCAGTCAGTTTTTACTAGCGGACGCTGCCTGCGACGAACTTCAATTCATTACTCTCTCAAAGACATTTCCGTTTGATATTCGTGAAGGCAGGTTAGGACAGCACGTGCGTGTGTGATAGGCGTGATGCCGTCACGTTAGTCACAAGTGATCACGTCACTAAGCCTAGTGACAGATTTCATATTATTACTCTCTCAACAACATTTCGTTTGATATGCATGAAGGTAGGTCATACAATGCTTGCAGTGGGTGCAAGGCGTGAAGACGTCATGCGAGTCACTAGTGATCCCGTCACTAGGCCGAGTGACAGTGTTCAAGTTATTACCCTCTAAAAACGTTTCGTTTGATATGCATGAGGACAGGTTAAGACAGCGCGAGCGTGTGTGATAAGCGTGATGACATCATGCGAGTCACTAGAGATCAAATCACTAGGCCGAGTGACAGGGTTCAATTTATTACTCTCTCAAAAACGTTTTGCTTGATATGCATGAAGGCAGGTAGAGAGTGCTTGCGTGTGTGATAGGCATGATGACAACATGCCAGTCACTAGTGATCAGGTCACTGGGCTGAGTGACGTCGTTCAAGTTATTACTTTTTTAACGATATTTCGTTTGATATGCAAGAAGGTAGGTCATACAGTGCTTGCGGGGGTGTTAGGCGTGATGACGTCACGTGAGTCACTAGTGATCAAGTCACTAGGCTGAGTGACATCGTTCAAGTTATTACCCTCTCAAAGACATTTTGTTTGATGTGCATGAAGGCAGGTTAGAGAGTGCTTGCGTGGGAGTTAGGCGTGATGCCGTCACGTGAGTCACTAGTGATCATGTCACTAAGTCTAGTGACAGATTTCAAGTTATTACTCTCTCAATGACATTTCGTTTGATATGCATGAAGGTAGGTCATACAGTGCTTGCGTGGGTGCAAGGCGTGAAAACGTCACGCGAGTCACTAGTGATCAGGTCACTAGGCCATGTGACGTCGTTCAAGTTATTACCCTCATAAGACGTTTCGTTTGATATGCATGAAGGCATGTTGGAGAGAGCTTGCGTGTGTGTTCAGTGTGATGATGTCACCTGAGCCACTAGTGATCAGATCATTGGCCTGGACAGTAGGTAGCAAGTTATTACTGGGTGGATGGCGTTTCATTTGATATGCATGTCAAAGGTGTGAGTAGTGCGCACGCGGGTGATAGGCGTGGTGAAGTCACGCGAGTCACATTGTGTCACTAGTAGCTCATTCATTGTTTATTCTACACATCTTGATAATATTTCCTCCTAAATTCACTCCGAAGCTATTCACTCCACGAGTTCCTGAAAATTCTGGGTCGCTTTAAGTCACGATGCCATGAGGATTAAATTCACTGGCGTCCGGATCAAATCGGCTGGCGGTTGGATTAATTTCCGTGCCACTTGGTTTAAAATGAATGACACATGGATTAATTTGAGTAGGCGCCTGGATGAAATTGACTGGCGCCTAGATTAATTTGGCTGGCACTCTGATTAAATTGAGGGGGAAAACCTATGTAATTAGCTGGTATTTATTATACAATTACAATTCCATCAAGGCTGAGAGGAAAAAAAGAAGCTTTAGCTTGTAGCTCAAATGCTGCAGGAAAGAATGGTACCAACTTTGTTTAACTATGCTAACGAAACGATCCTCAAAACTGCCATAAGGCATGTTCAGTTCACAAAAATAAATGCCAGGAAAATAATGCTTCAAGTTTTAAAGACATTTGTAATTTAAAATATTGAGCTCAAAAATAAAAATAAGTACTATTTTGACATATATTTCTCCAGAACATAATTTGGATTTAAATACATCAAATTGCAATTTTAAAGGGGCCCTGCTACACTTTTCCGAGCAACCATCGAATGACTTCACAAAAAAATGTTTATGGCTTCGCGAACTGATCACCACAAGTTATCTTAAAATCTGCCCCGCCGTGGTGTTTAGTGGCTAAGGTACTGGGGCTGCTAACCCGCAGGTCGCGGGATCGAATCCCGGCTGCGGCAGCTTCATTTCCGATGGAGGCGGAAATGTTGTAGGCCCATGGGCTCAGATTTGGGTGCATGTTAAAGAACCCCAGGTGGTCGAAATTTCCGGAGCCCTTCACTACGGCGTCTCTCATAATCATGTAGAGGTTTTGGGACAGTTAAACCCCACATATCAATCAAATCATCATCTTAGAATCTGCCAAGTACGAACGGGGTTACAGAGATTTGTAGCACACTAACCGTTTCTTCTCTTCTCTCGTCCCAGCGAACGCGCTGGCAGCTAAGCAGCGAGGGGTGGCAGAGGGCAAAAATAGTTGCAATATGCACACGTCACAACCTTAGGGGGAGATGCGGGTCGAAAAAACGCGAGTTTTTTTCTTCAAAATTACCGATTTTTTTATTTTCACCTGTTTTTATGAGATTAGTACCTCTACTGTTATGAAAAAAATAACACGGGTCGAGACGCAACTGGAAATGCTCTAAAATTCCATCTGAAGAGCACAAGGTGCCTGTTGAAAGGTCCAATGTGTGCAGTCGTCGAACACCTTGCTGCCGATAATGCACCGCCGCTCGCCATTGTTGAATGCATGAGTCGAAGAGTCGAGCCTCACTCTTCAAATAACAACAGTTTCTCTCGCTGACGCAGCGCAAGAAATAATAAAAAGAAGCACTCTTCGCGTTTTTCAAGCGCCGCAACTGGCTTATCAGATGTACGAATCGCGGACCGCCATTGGCCGCTGCGCGCCTGTATGTGCTGTGAAACCTATTTGCGGGGTCCATGTCTTGTCGAGCAGCGCAGCTGAACAATACTTTTCTCGTGTAATTATCTCCGTTATGAATGAAAAAAGGCATTACTCGCAAATAAAAACCGTTGTGCAGCATGCTCTGTAGGAATAGGCTACGAGCAGCTGGTCCAATTTGCGGCAGTTAATTGATTGGCTTGCAAAAGCCAATGCGTCAAAAGTTATTCACACCCATCAGCCGCAAAGTTCGTGATGCGACAATGAATGACGTCAGCGCCAATCTTGCGAGGTCGAAAGAGCTCGCAGTGAGAGAACTTAGCAGAGACGGCATTGTCATTATGTACAACAGTATGTGGCACAAATATGGCTGCAAAATGGCATGACACTGGACTTAGTTTGGATTTCGCAGTCCTGTCGAACTTCTTCCTAGCTTGCAGTTGCCACAAGGCTCTACCAGATGGAGCGGAAGTTTGGCAAGCGTTTCATGGCCCTGTCTGTGAGGACTCGGCTCGAAAAAGCTGATGAGGGACAAACTCATGGTGCTAACGTATTTTAGCCGCAGTGGCCACTACAATTCTCTTTTTGTTCTTTTTGGTGTGCAATTGTTCTTTTGGTGTGCTTTTTGGTGTGCAAATTTCATTTGATTTAATATCTTTCATAACTAAAAACTCAATTTTAACTTTAAAACTCGTTTTTCTCAAAACACAAATTTTGCCATTTTTTCCTATGTGCCCCTCCTTTTTCGGGCACTTATAATGCTCGGATCTGCATGAAATTTTGCCCAAATTTTTTTCCAAAGTATGACAAATGCAATTATCTAGTTTAAATTTTAATATTTTATTGTATAATAAAAAAATTGTATGTATAACTTTACTAGGGCAGCGGAAATATGGACTTTTTACCTCTATTATTTTTCATGTGTATTACATATTTTGTATGTGCTTTTTAATTAGTTATTCGCACTCTACACTTTATTTGAGATATTATGAACTATGAATGGTAAAAAATTACAGAAGTTTAGGGATGAAAAAATGGGGGGCAAAAGGGTTGAGGTTTTCACTTTGTCATGTAACAAAGCTAAAAGTGTGTAACTTGCAAGAAAACTAATTATATATTTGAAATCAGCATAAAAAGTTCCATAAACAGCTCAAGTTTCATTGCTCTAGGGTGAATATTAAAAAGAAAGTGTCTTCGAGTAGCATCTCCCCTTAAGCACCTTTTTTTTTTTTTTTTTAACACACGCTTACCTTCAATGTGATCACAAGTGTACACATGGGCGCAGTAACTACACTGCCCACGATGCTCAAATTAGCCATGGTCATGAATTTGGGTATATGACATCATTTATGGCATATGCCGTGCTTTAATACACTATTCAACATCATTATTTTTTATAGCACAACTACATTTCTGATTTCACATGTTTAAAGTGTATGCTTCATTTTTACCAGTATTTCTGTCTTCTTAATTTGTTTGTTATGTAGACAAAAATGTATGTCAACACCGCCTTGTGTTCGGACCGCCAGGCCCATTCAGGCTGCATATTCGCCACATTTTCGCCTGGGGCAACCCCTAACAACTGCTGTTGGAAATAAACTTTCTTGATTTTTTTTCTTTATTTCTTGAGAGAAGAGGAAGCGATTGTTTAGCTGACGCTGAGAATTGTGTATTCCAGGTCCTTTGCTGCACTATAACGCTGCGCTAACATATTCTCTGAAGCCTTGATTACCGATCGGTATTGTTTTCCTGGCCATATTGAAAGGCTTTGCAAGGCCCTTTCAAAAAGCTTTCCAATCAAGCTGGCTTCCTAAAAGAAGCACAGAATCTATTCTTGTCCATTTATGAGGCAAATAAAGTTATCGTATAAAGGACCTCACAAAAGGACCTCACTCTAACCCCTGTATTCAGAAACGCTCCTCGACTCGACTTTCACCCTTCACTTGACAGGGTTGAGCGCTGCACCACAGCTTGGCTCAAAATGACGCTGCGCTAGTCGAGAATCGCAGAAGATTATTGCTAATATACAGTGACTTGCCGTGCCTAAAGATGGCACTCCAATCGGCTTTCTCAAGTGAAGGTGAAGCGTTCAGTAAAGGGACGTTCTAGAATACAGGGGTAAGGATATTGACAATTTCGTTATCTGCAACCCAGAAAAGCAGTATAAAAGCACAACAAGCTTCTCTACTTCAACTGCTTCAACAAAAGTCAATGCTTACAGCACTTACCTTTCCTTTTGCTTTTGGGACCTCTCAGCTTCTTTGTTTTATTTTCAACCTCCCCCGCTTCACTTTCAGGTGCTCCTTTGATTTCAGCGTCAGATGCCTCCTTTTTTGGGGCCTTTCGAGGCATCCTTATTGGAGCAAGGAGTCTAGCGATTTCTTTTTCTTCCTCATCCATGCTGTCTTCAATTTCCATCTTTGCCGCAGCAATTATCGAGGGGTCAATGTCGAGTCGCTGTATCTCAACAGAGACAGCCATCGCCAGCTTCGGGTCACCATATTTCTCGGAAGCCTTTTCAAGGCACTTGCTCGCAGATTCGCTCAGCTGCACACCCGAACTGCTGGACTTGCGCCGCCTCTTTCTTGGAGACCTTTGTTTCGGAGTACGGAGCATGCTCGTCAAAGGATCGTCAAGTTCGTCTTCGCTCGATGACTTGCTAGTGTAATGCAGGCTTCGTATCAAGGCACGGCGGGCTTTCACGTCTTCACTCAGTGAAGTGCGCTTTTTGCGTCGAACTGATTCCTGCGGTGTTGACTGCTTGTTTTCGCCCTCCCCGGAACTTGGAAAGCTCTCAGTTGCTCGGCTGTCTGCGTCCACAGAGGCGGCATCGCCACGGCTTGCCTTCCTTGCACTCTTCTTCAATCTTCTTGCTACTTTACCAACGTTATCGCCATCTTCGTCACTTGAACTCATGTCAACAGTGCTAACAGATTCACGGCGCCTAATGTCTGCCCGGAGTTCTCCAGGGCCTCGTTCTGCCTGTTGATCTGCTGCTTTCAACTCTTCTTCCATAGGAGGTGTTTCAGGTATCACTTGTGATTTATCCGCATCAGTCTTTTGCTCAATGAACAGGTCGGTGAGGCTTTCAGAATCATTCTCACTTTCGCCATTTAGAACAACCGGTGAAAATTCATCACCCAGGCTTAGAACTGGTGGAACGTCAATGGGAGGAGATGCTGCATCTTGTTTCTTGATATTTTCAGGCTTTTGTGCCAAGGTCTCCTCTCCGTTATCAGACACCTCTTTTACAAAACAGCCAGCATCATCTTCAAGTCATCAACAAGAATCACATCTTTTGCTGCATTTGATAGTGAATTCAGCTTTTTCACACCGTCAAGACTGGTGCACTCTTCCAGGTCAATCGCTTTTTCACCTGCGACTTGCCCGTCAGATTTCAGCAAAACAGGCTCATCACAACCATTTACACCATCCTTCGTAGCCTCAGCATTTGAACTGTGTGCTTTGTCAGCCTGCAGTGTACTTAACTTTGCCGTATCGGAGGTAACCTTTGCACAGTGAGCATTAGACTCAGAGTCCAGTTTAGTGGCATTTGTGTGCTGCTCATGTGGTGGGCTATCAGCAGCTACATTAGTCAATGGATCACCAGCCATTTCTGATGCATTGTTGACTATTGCACTAGGGGCATCAGACTTTGCATCCAATTCATTGTCTCCTTTGATATGTTTGTCCCGCTTGGCACTCAGGTCCTCTTGGTCGGAGCTGCTAAAGTGACCACTTACTTCATCCAGCGCAAGCAGGTTTTTGTTCTTGGCTTGTTTTGTGGCATTACTGGGCTGGGAGTCCACCGACGCAGAAGACTCCTGACATTCCTCACTGGCTCTCTTCTGTCCCGCTCTTTTCTTCTGGGATTTCATTTTGCGCTTCTGGCATTCCTCTGCACTATGGGCAATGCGGGAAAAGCTGCGGGCATGGTCCCTGAGCAGCTTGCTCATGCTTGGCAAAAGCTCCTCCGCTCCGCCAGGGGTCCCCATAGTGGCGAGCAACTGCTGAAGCTCCATGGATTTTTCCAAGGCTAGTCTATACACCTCCGCCTCGCTGAGCTTCATCGATGCACCAGCGTCGGAAGTGCCCGCCGACGTGCTGTTGGCCACTTGGCGACTGTAGCCACCAATCATCTCGGCAAAGTTGACCATTGGCACGAGCGGTGCAGGATCGCATACGTAGCAGTGCCACTCATTCAGAGAACTGACCCGGGTCACCTCTCGTCGCGAGAGGTTGCGGCGAATGCAGTTCTTGCAAAAAGCGCGGGTGCACTTGTCGCACACAAGCAGGTTTCCGCCTTCGGCGCACCAGGAACAGTACTCATCGGTGCCACTGTCATCTTTTTGAAATTGGCCGTCCCCGTAGTAGCCATGGCATCTCTGAAAAAAACAATTGCTCAGGATAAGAGAGCTGTGGTACGACAAGCTTTCTTTACGAAGTTAAGCACAAAAATGCAGTGACGCCCACGTTATATAACAAAAAACTCTTCACTCCAAGATGGCTGGCCATTTAATTTACTGGTACTTGACCCATTAACTACCTGGCCAAGCACATTCATATGACCCCTGATGCACATCCCTGGCTGTGCCACAGCCATTTTGTGAACAGTATAACAGTACCATTCAGTGAGAACCTGAGTGAAGAAAACATTCTTAGTAATCGTTATTTTTAAATGGCAGATGGCGCAGTGAAGCTGTCAGCATTTGTGGCATAGCTCCAATGTCCTGAACTTGCACAAGAAACCCCGTTTCAATATAGAGATGCCAAAGTCAGCAAAATTCTTATCAGCACTTATTCAGGGACTTAAAGCTTGATTATGAGGCCTTTTGCAAAGGTGATTACAGTACTGAAAAAGCCTATGCTGTCTGAGAAAACAGTTCATATAATTCATTAATTAGCACTACTTGAAAACATTACTTGCATTTCAAAGGTTTAAGAACTCAGCAACATGTTATCAATCAATAGCATAAAGCCTGTGAAATTGGTTACATTTTTGCGAAAATGAGATAATAGACTACTATCATGAGCAGCTCAAGTTTTCTAATTACTTTTTTTTTCTGGCACAGTGACCAACAGCACAAATGAAACATTTGGTACGACAACGCTGATGTCAGCATCTTGTGAACTGAGCAATTTAGAGTTTTAGTAAGTTTTCAAAAAGATATGTGTTCATCTACAAATTCTGGCGGCCTCCATGACAACATTGCAATCACCATTTTGTACGCATATCTTACCATACAGGACAGCTATCAAACACTCACCTTACAGACAAGAACATTGAGAAGTCTGTGCAAATGAACCTTGCGCTTGTCATGGTGATTGATCTGTTCCCCGCAGGACGTGCACACAACGCTGAGATTACCAATCTCTTCATCTGCAAGGCACAACATCATAGAAGAGTGTTTTGATGTAGCTGTGAATACAAAGCATTGAAAAAATTCCCTACTTATTCTGTCGCCTGAAAGTGAAGCGGATAGGTTTGCCTAAATGTACTTCATCTTCAAATATTTAGCTAAGTGTTACGTTTCATAATTAATACTTGCTCTAACTCTAATTTCGGTATTCAAATTGCTGACCACTTTTAAAGTAAACTCGCGTACATTTCTTTGCTTCAATCAAGCATGTACATAGTATGTAAATGACCGTTACTGATAAGACAAACCTCAATGAGTGAGACAAACTAAAGACAAAGCCTTAGTTTAATGAGGATGTTTACAGCTTAACTTCAGCCCTTACAGATGTCTCAGTTTTACAGCATGCTATGGTTAAACCATTAGGGCACTAAGGGCAGAATCTACAAGCAGTATGAGATGTTGGAATTTGTACAGACATAACACAATTTAATTATGTGTAAATGAAAAACATTAAGAAAACGTCTTTAACATGTATGAATGTTTTGCATTTAAATGCATAACTAATAGTGCCTGAGCAACCCCAGCTGTGCTGCAAAGCACACCAACAGTCAATACAAATAGAAATTGTGATGTGTACTACAATATGCTCACCGATCTTGGATGCCATGCATTCAACTACAGAATCCATACATTTCCCTCTTGCATACTAGAGACTCCTACAGATAAAATTTATGGGTCTGCTTTGCTAACATGCCACAGAGCTTTGCGATAAAAATGATTATAATTGAAAGAGGGTAAAAGACAGGGCCATGCATATAAATTTTCTTAAAAAGCCGATGACGACCATTCTCCCACTGTCTTACACGTAAACTCTACCTCTAGGCTTAATAAACACATTGCCACACTTGAACTGATTCACAAATGACCGATCAATCTGAATATTAATTTTTCTAGTTATCTGCCTGAGGGCATAGGCAGATCCAGTGACTCATTTTAGGAGGGGAGGGGCAGTCACTTGAAGTAACACCAGAGGGGGGGGGACCTTGTTTTTAGCAGCAAAAAAACACCCTGGTAGCATAAATACTGTTAATGTGTGCTCACAGTGATCCCATTCAATTTTTCAAATTGGTGATAGGAGGTGGATGACAAGCACCGAAGGGAGTCGGGGGTGCTGACACAGGCTTTGTGGGGTGAGCGATAACCCCTGGCACCTTGCCCTTCCCTCCCTCTGGATTCGCCACTGCCTGAGGGCAGTTGTTCATACTAGAAGGTTGCAGTCCATGAACTTTTTTAACGGCATACCCATTACTTAGGAATGACAAAATCTGCATTGAAATGTTCATCGTCCAATTTTTGTAGAGATATATAAACTAATTCTTCCCAGAAAGCTACCCTGCTACATGAGAGAGAAAGTTCTCGTGACATGCAAGTGATGAAACTTGAACGAAGGCGTGTCAAAGTGTAATCAAGTCATGAAGAAACGGCAAATAGTCAAATAGTCTAGTAAACATTCATCTGTTCTTTTTTTACACTCCCTCCGAACCCCCACCCCCCTAAAAAACACAAAGTCCACACGAAGCACCACAGCGACTGCCCCTCTCCTCCAGAGTTTTGTGATGTACAAGGACAGCCAATATTGTAGTTTCCTTGAGCACATCCAGAAGAAGTAGAAAAGTACGAAACCATTCAGGATTAACGAGTGCAAGGAGGCCCCCTGGTGCAAGTGAGATGACCAGATGCTTTAACAACAGAGCGCCCAAGTTTTCAGCTTCCCTGAGGGAACTCACTCATCTTGTGTGCCTTCCTTTACCTTTCCGGTACTAAAAAAAATTCTGCCAACACCCTTACAGCACAGTGAAAATGTCATAAAAAGGCCCTGAGCCATGTGTTTGCATGGTCTATAGATACTTGTGGCTGACTGTACTCTTCTGAGTGAAATTACACAGACCACTGCTGTTTGCATCGAGAGAGATTTTTCTCGCCAGTGTATGAATCTCACCTGAAAGTGACGATTCCATCTGAACTTATGTTGCGCACTGCCCAGTGCACTGATGAGTTCAGTTCTTTTCGTCACATACTTTCACACAGGTATGCGCGTTTACTTAGTAGATAGACAATTCAATTCCAAGCTTCATGCTTGCCTTTCACCATGACCACTAATAAAAAACTGACTCGAGCATTTCATTTTTATGACCGAGAGCGACTGTGTCTTGCTGCTTTTTGCAACATATTTTCAAACTTTCCTTTTTTCAATACACTTCTAAAGCATCTTCAAAAAATTTACTGACTTTATAGTTAATGCTTACAAAGTTTGTTATGCCACCCTAAGGTATGTTATTTAACACCACAGAAAACAGTACAGAACTATTTTTACAGTACCTAAGAATAAACCATTCTTGTGAACCAATGTTGCACAATATGGAAAGCATGATTTTTGAATGCTCGCAAAAAGTGGTGCAGTTGTTTGTGGCAGTGTACAAAGAATGCAACAAACACAACTTTTGAATGGCATTCTTTTGCTGAAAATATTGTGGATTAAATTTTTTCTTGCTCAGCCAGCCATATTGATACATGTATGGAACTTCCCCATAACATTATCATGGAAGCAAGGAGGAAAATTTACCGCATTAAATTTTGTCAAATGCTGTGACCACTGAACCGTGGACACTTCGTTTTCAGTGGACATACTCAGTTTGTTCAAACCACTTAGAAAATTGGAATATTGTGGATGAAGTGAGTTTTTCCATGATTTATGTATATTGTATTATTGAGTTTGGCTCGTAGTGAAGTCGACAGTTAATAAAATGCATGGCCTGCAGACAACAAACAGTCTGCAAAGTTATCGACACAATTAGAGAGACACTTCCAGCAAATGCACTTAAGAGATATGCACTATAGATGCATATATACATTAAACTATACACTAAGCAAGAGGGAACGCTACAGGAAATATATGAGGACTAGGTCTGACAACACAGGTATTCATTAATTTGGAAACAAAATTTAACAAGGTAACTTTTCCACCTTGCTCCCATCAAAATATGGCTGGCCAAGCAAGAAAAATTTAACACGTGACATGTTCAGCAAGAATCCAAAAGGCATTGAGTTATCACGATGCATCATTTAGAAACTTTTCTCGCAACAAAGACCAAGTACTTCAGTTGAGGTTTTGATTGAGAACCTTTCGATCAGGTAAAAATATATTACATCATCAACGTTGTACATGGCTATGAAACAATAAAAACAATGTTTTGTTGCTTAAATAGGTACCTCTATTGCCGTATGAAAATGTCAGTGCTAAAACAGCTCATGCACTCAAGATTGTGTTAGACAGTGATTTCGCAAAGATGGTCTCAGACACTAATTGTCTGAATGGCATACGCTAACAGATGAACTCATGACGATACATTTGGTTAGTCGCGAATATACTTGCACGATACCAATCTATAGTGATGTCAGACCACAGCTACATCAGTAACAGACCCTTTTTATGATTGTAAAGCTGGTTTTGGTGCCTATGCAGCTAGCCCAAATAATGGCGGCTAGTCACTTACTGCTAACAGCCTGTTTGAGCATAGCTTGCTATGTACCAACTAGACCCAATGTAAGTTTTATCGAGCATAGTTTGCTTGCTCTGAGACATGGAAAATGTAGAATCGGCTTTTTTGACATAAACAAGCATAATAGACAAACCCCAGCACATGCAATTAGGACCTCTAGTTCACGTGAAGCACAACAGGTACTACCATTAAGAGGGCGGAAATGCTGTGCAGGAAAGTGCACTGGTGGATGATGATAACAGTCTATAGTTCGGCAAACTAATTAGAATAGCCTGAGCACAGTCGATGGCAGTCATCCTTCGGTGTGAGAAGCCACTCATACATGAAGTGTTACAGCACAGCAACTTTTCCTTATGGTACAGTACAGTGCCCCCGTACGAAACTGCATTTTGAAGCAAAAAAACGATCGGATTCGTCGGTCAGCGGCTGCTGATGGTGGAGGCAAGGACACTGCTCGTGCACATGTCATGCAGCTCCTAGACCCTGCATTTATATACGGACCACCCACCAGGTGATCTTCAGTTTGGCGGCAGTGCGCAACAACTTCACATCACCTGATACTGTATACTTTTTCACGCAGGTGTGCGTTGTTTTACTTGTGTTAAAACGATTAGAGTTGATTTTTGCACTGTTGCCAAACTACTGTGCCTGTATTCTCTGACATGACAAAGGATATTAGCAAAGCGTTTTAAGATATTAAGACAGAAATTCGGGCCGAGCTCCATGGTTTCAAACAGAGTATCGATCACTGTAGTGAGACTTGTGACAATGTCAATTTGCTCTCACATGAACTGAAGGCTTTGCGCGATGGACTAGCAACACGGAAGGCAAACGAGCAACTTGTGACAGAAAATCGACAGCTACAAACAAAAGTGGAAGAGCTCGAACAATATACCCGTGCCAACAGCCTTGAAATTAAAGGTGTGCCAAATGAAGGAGAGCCACTTGACATTGTGAAAAAAGTATGTGCCGCAATCCAGGAACCAGTCACGGAATCTGACATTACCACCTGTCATAAAGATGGGCATATCTTGCGACGTGACAAACGAAATGCCGTTCTCATGAAGGCCACAAAAGTAAAGCCCTCGGCTAAGAAAATCAGTTTCAGGACATCAGCTCCAATCTTTGTCAATGAAAACTTAACCTGTCGAGGTAGACAGTTTCTTGGTGCTGCTGTGGCTAAGAAACGTAAACTTGGCTGGCGATTCGTTTGGACGCAGGCAGGGAAAATCTTTGCGAAGAAATCGGAAACATCGGAGAGACTTGCAATCTGCTGTCGTAGAGGTATAGATAGATGCATTAATAATTACCTGAGAATTTAGGATTTATAATTACTCCTAAATGGACAGTGCTTCAGATTGCCAATATTATGATTAAGATAAACTTTTGCACGTCTTCAAAGTGCTATCTAAACAATTCACTGCATAACATATCGTTGCATAATGCTCGTAGCATTAGAAATAAAACGGATGACATCGGCCTGTTCCTGAATAATTGGGAAAGCAAATTCTATGTTTTGTATATTACGAAATCTTGGCTGACTCTGAAAGATAGCCCACCACAGTTCGCGAATTATGTTCATAATGGCATTGTTCGTTCTTCAAATCGAGGTGGTGGAATCAGTATGTATGTTAAAGATACCCTCTCTTACAATGTTATCGACAATTTCACCTGTATCACACCTCATATCGAGCATCTTACAATGTGTGCACAAAATGTAATAGTTGCGGCTGTTTATCGACCTCCCACTGGGTATAAGTCTGAATTTTTCACTTTTATAGAAAAGCTATTGCATGAACTTCATTCGATGCGCTGTCCATTCCTTATCATGGGCGATGTAAATCTCGACATGCTCAGTGGGGAGCGATCTTGCGAGCAGCTGAAAACTATTCTAAACTCCTATGCTTGTTCCAATGTCACCACACAACCTACACGTCTTACCGACTACAGCGCAACCTTAATCGATATTAGTATCACTAACGCCCCCAGTAATAATTGTACCAGCGGTACATTATCCCTCGACGTCAGCGATCACCTGCCTATCTTCACATTTTTGCCACTTGACAGTGCAAGGCAGGACTCTGATGAAAAGCCACATTATCGTAAAATGAACTCTCATCAGCTTAACAAATTTTATCATGCGCTGGAAACCACAATGTGGAACTTTGTTTACGCAGAAAAAGACCCCGATAAAGCATACCATCTTTTTAGGGGCGAAGCTCCTTAGGGCGTGGGCTGTGCGTCCCCTGTAGCCTGTATGCAGCCACCTCTAGTTTAGTTCTTGCAGTGTTCACTAGATGGCGGTACCGTCCCCTGTATGTAGCCACCTCTAGTTTAGTTCTTGCAGTGTTCACTAGATGGCGGTACCGTCTCCTGTATGTAGCCACCTCTAGTTTAGTTCTTGCAGTGTTCACTAGATGGCGGTACCGTCTCCTGTATGTAGCCACCTCTCGTTTAGTTCTTGCAGTGTTTACTAGATGGTGGTACTTGTAGCTGATGATGAAAAGATGCAAGATGTTATAAACTAGAAAGCTGGTACTTGTAGTTGATGAAAGACGCGAGATCTTATAAAATAGGAATGATGTCACATATGGCGCGTGTCATTGGTTGAAGGCAATCGTTCGATTTAGTGCGGCGACGTACGCTAGGGGGAGCGTTGTAATAAAATCCGTTCGCTGTTGGCGCGCGCTCGGAGTCGCCGGATGGATAAGGCTGCACAGCGGAGAGAGCGCAAGGCGGCAGGCAGCGCGCGCTCGCAGACAGAATCCCGATGTGCGAGCGCACGAGGCAAGGGACATCGCAAGCCATCCATCGTCTAAGAACAAGTAAAAGTTGATTTGTGCATATACACACACAGCGTTTCTCACGTCTTTACATGATGATCGACTGGGCGAATTACACGGAAGATTCACAGTTTACCGATGAATCCCTCCGGAGCTTCGCCCATTCATCATCATTCACCCCGCGAATATGCCGTAATTTTTTATGAAACACTTAGGGTGATCTATGACCGAAATTTCCCACTTGTTCCATTCCATAGGAAAAAAAAAAAATTCGCAAGCCTTGGATTAGTGGGTGTTTGTACAAACCAATAAAACATAAAAACAGAATGTACCACGCATTTGTACAGACACGTGGCGCTGTTCTACTTAGCGCATTTAAAAAATACCGTAATAAGTTAAATGCCGACTTGAAACAAGCTAGGACTTGCTACTATCAAACCCTTTTTTCTAGTATACTTAATGAACCTAGAAAGCTGTGGAACAAAGTAAACAATTTATCTAACAACTCGAAAGTTAAACGTCAGTATTAGCATTACAGCTTTTGCCCACACTAAAACAGAAATGGAAGCACTCACCAAAATGAATGAATACTTTACTAATGTCGGTGCACTACAAACAAATCTCAGTTATGAGGCCTGTTATGTCATACATAAACGCGCAAGCTTGCTGGACGACAAGTTAACAAGAGGTGGAAAAATTAGTAGCTAAAATTAGAACCAACGTTTCTGCAGGCATTGATGAATTATGTGCCTCAGCCATTAAATATGTATTGGCTCTTATATCTTTACCATTAACACATACTAATAGAATATCTGAAACTGGCATCTTCCCCACAGATCTACAGCTTGCTCGCATGTGCCCCGTATATAAGGGTGGCGCTGTTAATGATATATGTAATTACAGGCCGATTTCTGTGCTTCCCGTGTTATCTAAGGTATTTCAAAATGTCAAATTTGCATCCTGTCAATTTCATAAATAAGCAACACATAATAAATGACGCACAGTATGGCTTCCAGAAAAATAAAACCAGTGAGCTAGCCTTATTACATGTTAAGGATAAAATATTTCATGAGCTTGAAAAAAACTTTAGAGTGCAGGTCTTTTTATTGATCTAAGTAATGCATTTACCTGTATCATTGACCTGTATTTGATTGCATTAATCACGACATTTTTCTATTGAAGCTCAATAATTATGGCATTCGTGGGGTCGCCTAAAATCTTTTAATGAGTTGCCTCTCCTGTAGAAAACAGTGTATCAAAACTGATAATTTTAACCCCCCCCCCCTACTACCACCATAAAACAGAGTGTCCCAGGGGTCGATCCTGGGACCCTTGTTATTTATATTGTATGTTATCGACCTATTTGACGTTCCAAACTCCCCAAAGATAGTAATGTTCGCTGACGACACCAACGTCTTTTTTTCAGCGCCCAGACTTATTCAGTTTGAGAAAATGATAAACGAATATCTTGTTCAGCTGGATGGATGGCTTCATGCAAATAAATTAGCCCTAAATATAAAGAAATCTAATTATGTCCTCTTTAGGGACCCTAATATACCATGCGATATCCAGATTACGCTAATGTTTCAGGACACTGTTTCTGAGTGGCTAAAATGTCAAATTTTAAGGTGTATGGTCTGAAGAAAGCATGTCCTGGAATACACACATCAATAAACTCACTTCAGAACTAAGCAAAGCTGTTGATGTTATATTCAAACTTTCAGACTTAATTCCTTTACATCTAAAAATGCAATATATTATGCGCATTTCTACTCCCGGTTATCATATTGCACACTTGTCTGGGGTACCACAACAACTTCTAATTACAAAAAAACTGGAAACAATGCAAAAAAAAAAGTGCTCAGGCTATATGAGAATTATTCTGGTGAGCCAAAAGACTTACCAACAAATCCCTTATTTATTAAGCATAATTTGCTTAAAGCAAGCAATTTATATGACTGTAAACTCCTCATGCACATACATAAACATAATTTGCTAGACATTGCACATGAAACGGCACGTTATCCTCTACGCCATAAGCAGTCACCAATACCACGAACACGTACAAATTATGGGAGATCAGTCCTCAGTTATCAGATACCCCCCTAATAAACCGTGTGTCTTTAAAATAAACTTTGATGTTCCACTCTATCAATTTAAAGAACAAATAAGACTACTCCTATTAAATGAGCACACAGCCATCACAGCATAAGCTCATGTATGTCGCCATACCATTTTTCTTGCATTATCAAACATTATTATATGTTTCAAATGTTCTCGTTTCCTGCATGTACCTATATTATTCAGTTTCCGTTATATTGGTGTGTTGAATGTGAATGTGCATTTTCTTGTAACATCCATTTCGTGGTACGAGTGCATTATGTTGTATCTTTTTATTACTTTTTCTTTCGTACCTTTGTTAATATAACAAGTTGTATAAGTTATATCGTTTTTTTTTTTTCTCTGCAAATATCCATTCACTGCTGCCTATACGGTCCCCCAGGTCTCCTCAAGCTGCTTTAAACAGCTTTTTGCCCGGGGAACCCACAAACGTCTTGTGTTGGAAATATATTAATGAATAAATAAAATATTTGAACCGAAACAGACTTGCCGTTGGTCAATGTAAAATTTGCTTATAGCTACATATAATGAAGTCCCTCCCGTCCCATCCCCACGAAAGATCACAGCAGGCCCTTCACATTGGTTACGCTAAACGTGTTATGTTACTCTGTTCTTCGTGCAGTCTCTCACCAGGTACCAACACTTGACCATTTTGCACGTAATAATACTGGTGCTTCGATAATATCCTGATCAGAGTGAATTCTGACGAGTTTAACTAGATGGCTGACCATCACACAGCAAGCACACAAGGCTTTTTGCTCAGTAAGCAACAGCAGAGTACATCCATTCATATTTTTCTTGGCTGCAAGGAGAGGCAGTGACATTATACAGAGTATGCGTGACACAAATGAAAGTTGAATGTAGGAGCCAAAGAAAAAAAAAGCACTAAAAAAGTCCCATACACCTCTACAAAACAAACGTGCCAGACAAACGTTACTGACGACGAAAAGCCGCATCTGGCAGACCGATGCCGCGAACTTCATGTGTGAGCACAGAAAGAATGGTAAGTCACCAAGTTCGATGACAGTTCGATATACGTTGCTTACGACTAAGAGGGGCACGCCGCACTGCGCTGTTCTCAGAGCTCATCCATAGAACGACTGTGTCGGCCTTCGCCGGAGCAGGTGCTTCATCTGAAACATAGCGCAATTAAGAAAGCTTCAGTGAAGATATAAAGACACGTGGCTAACGTCTGCGAGTGTAGACTCAGGTGAAGATCAGCTATAACTTATACTAACACATTTGTTAACAGCGCATACGCTGCTCCCACTAGTGAATGCGAAGACAGTTTAGTTACCAGGCATTTTGCTGGCAGCTTGCTTCCTCGCGGTTGGCCATGGTGGCGATCTTGTCTCTTCAGGAGCTAAACAAACGCCGTTATGTTAAACTATGAACAAGACTTCCTTAAGCGTGCGCGGACATGCGTTCCAAGACATTTTAACGGCGAATGGAGTATTAAGTTAACCTGCTGAATCGGCGCCAAAATGTGTTTAGCGATTCCCGCTAGTCGAGCAAATCGCGACAAGCTGACTGAAGTAACCGCGCTCTAAGTAAACATTTACTAACGACTGCGGGCAGATCGCTCGAGTATCACATCGTTAAAACGTAAGCGAGTGTACACAGTGGTCAAAATCACGAACTATCGCATATCTGTGCCAAAAGGTCTACAATGCTTATTTGCCGGTGGAACTAAACTTCGAAACGGCGCGGCCAAATCTCATAAATGACTAGACGGCGGAGGGGTACTGGGACACGGCACTTCTTATGCTACTGTCATTGCTCACGACGGTACTGCGTCATACATTGCAAAGATCATTTCGATAGCTAGGAACATGTCAAAAATTAGCGCCTGTAAGTGCGCGCTGACACCAGCTAAAGCCAAGAGCAGGCACACCGCCAACAAGAACACGTTCCGTTTCGCGTTTTACGACCACTACTTGCCATGACGTAGTATCGGCACGCCCAACTAAACGCAGATGCCCGTGAGATCGCTGCTCGCGCCAAGCAAGTGTGGATGTGAAGAGCGTTGTGCAACCGACCGCTGGGTGCGCTGCTTGCAATGTGCCAATCACAGAGTTCTTGGGGGATCGCACTTTCGATCGTGATCATATCTTTTGGTGGCGATTGTTTCATGTACACGTTCAAAATGTAGCCAATCGCAGTCCACTGATTCGACAAGGTTCAAGCTCTTTTGAAAGAAATTTGCTTTTCAGTGCGCAGGGAACGTTTGAGAAAAGAAGAGACGGCTTATTTTTTGCCGTGAAGACAACATTTAATTACCGCAGCTGAGCTCTCTTTGTAAAGAGTAAACAGCGAAGGATCTTTAAGTGTCACGTGCAATAGGAAGCACGCAAAGATGCTTGTAGAATGTATTATAGGCGTTGTGTACGTATTTGATTTATCATGTGGTCGACACTACATCGGTCACACGGGGCGCTGTCTACAATCGCCTTGCAAATCTGGATGGGCCGATCAGTGGGCAGCCACTTGAATTTTGATGAATGTCAAGTAATGGCAAGATATAAGGACCAGAGGGCACATGAAATATATGAGGCTTTTTTTTTTTCATTCGTAAAGCAGGAACTGAGTGTGTCAGTGCGCCGCCCATAAATCTGTTGTATAATGAATACAAGCATCTTTTCAGTTAAGTTGTCATTTTAAGATTAGAATAATGTGGTCTGGCGCACGCGTTATCACTTGTATTTTCATCTGTGTGTGATCTCCTCGCCCTCTTGACTGTATATATATATTCCCGCCATTCGTGCAATAAAATTGGTCGTAAGTGTGCTCTCTGTCCTACATCACGGCTCCATCTTCTTTCTCAACGCTCCCTGCGCACTAAGAAAACCAAATTGCTTTCAAAATGTAATACCAACCAGTCCAAGTAGCCACTCTTTTGCAGTTCAAGATCTATCTGAATCTGTATGGCAGCAAAAGGAACAATTGCAATATTGTCCTCCCGAGCCGAGGACACATAATTACAAGGAAGCACGCGCGGTTTCATTGGGAATTAACTCTTGTGACTTTAGTTTCTCGCGTAATGCGATTAATAACGACTGGTTTAATAAATAAGCATTATATATTTTCTCGGCTATTACAATCATTAACTATTTGATTGGATAAGATAATCCACAACGGCATAACTAATAATGTCAAATCTTCATATACCACAGCCGCGCTGACACGGACTAGCGCGGCCGCGCACGTGCATGAGACGCAGTTAGCATGAATCAAAATAAACGTGCAGTGCTGCTGCATATTTGACCTCTATCTCTGCATTGAGAACACGAAACTATAATTCACACGTACGTGTTAAGCTGCGTGTTCGCGCACAAAGAGTTGCGCGAAGATCGCCCGACTTCGTAAATTATAATGCGTACGATTCCCAAAACGCATGCATGGTGTTAACCGACTAAACAATGAATAGACCGCTTCAAACGAGAAACCGCTGAACTCGTTACATTACATGGACACAAACTGCACACCACGCCAACGGTCTAGAAAACATTCATCGGAAATGTATACGTACCATCTGTGATAACGATAACTTCATCTTCGTCGAACATGGTCCTGAATGGTCGCACAGCCGTTCGCGGTTGTAGTGTCCGCACCGAACGCGGCATCATACCGAGCCGAAAACGCGCGGCCGCGCGAGAAAATTAGTGGCTTTGTGGCGCCGCGCGTTCGAACACGGCCACTACTTCTACCTCACGAGGGCCAATTGTTGCTTAAAATGCCTGCATCGGAGCTGTACCGTACGGTGTAGAAAGCGTATTTCTCGATCACAGAGGAAGCAAAACGTCAAAAAGCAGCGTCGCACAACACGACTGACGTAGGCACAACACGTGATAGCACGTCACGGTTACAGGCAAGCCGGCAGCACAGACGCACATATAGTATACAGACTCGACCCGTGGCCTCCGCGATTAGCGCGTCGTCGGAGCCAATCGTGGAGGCTGCGCTAGCCAACAATACGTTGCGTCCTCAACGTCAAGTGACAGGCTGACACTGAGCAAGCTCAGGCAGGCTGCGTTTGCTGCGTGACGCAATGTTCTCCTCTAAACAGGCCTGTAGCCAGAGAGGATGCCTAACCGCGACCTTGAAAAAAAAAAAAAAAAAAAAACCTGGCTACAGGCATACCTCTAACCTACTTCGTGTTATTCAAGCGTTTAGATTCGCAAACCCTATATGGGAGTAATTGTGAGTGAAGGCAAAAAAAAAAAAACTGCCACTCTAGCAGGGTTTTTATTCAACGTTGCATGGCAGATCATTTCAAAGACCCAGGCCTTGCATGCTATTAAAAAAAATACCATGTCAACAGAGAAGCAGTCAAATATTTACCACAGTTTTCTACAAAACTCAATGGGCAATACAATGCACATAACTACTGCACACGCTGCCATGGGTTACTTGTCCTTTTTCCAAAAGATGCTTGCAGGATTTTGAAGATGGACTATCGAATTGCCCTACTGAACATGAAACACCATTTTTACAGCAACATATAGTTTATATGTTTAATGGCTTTCTAGAAGTTCTTATTTGCTTGCCTACTTTGTCAGTCTTAGCTTCCGGTTTATGCAAAATTTCTCTCCTAACAAAAAAGGCAAAGTCCCCTCTACATGCATAAGCACTGAAAACGGACAAAGCTAATCATGAATCATCACTCATAGATAACCTAAACTCCCGACTAACCCAGAAAAAGGTTATAAGTAATGTGCCTGAATGCATCCTACTCTCTACATGCTTCAACTACCTGCTGCAACTTGAGGATACTATTCTATGTTGCTTTAGATATTAACAAAATTTGCATTGAAGCACTGTTCCAATTCTTGCACTTCCTACAACAGCAATCTTATTGGGAAAATTACATAACATTACATTTAAAATTTAATATAACAAAGAAAAAGTCTCCAATCTATCACAATGAAAGACAAGACATTGAAGGAAGAACACTAATACCTTGAGAAACGGGCTGGTACCTTAATGCGTGCAGCAACTGTACTTACTTTTGCACTTGTAATGGGCTCGTAGTTTTTCCTGCTGGTTGAAATTATCCACTGGCAGTGAAGCTAGTTATTTTCGTTGCAGATGGATATCTGTGCATGCTTAAAACACCATAATGATACAATTACCCCGTTGTGCTGTGATTTACGCAGACAGTGCTGAGTAACCTCCTTCTCTTGCGCTGGTTGTTTTCGCATCCCAAGATGGCACAGTGGTGTTCAAACAACTTCTTGTATGTGTAAGCAGCATGAATAGGTGATTTTTTACATTTTAAAGTCTCAGAGTTACCACTTGCCTTGTTAACTCGCCACAATTTATACATGCCTTAGCAGTCCACAGCAAAATGGTGTCCGAGAGCGAAAGTATATTCCGGGAGCCTGGGTGCGGGATATATGGCATGTATTGGAGATTATGGTATGGTGTTCTGGTATATATGGGGATTCAAGAAGGGCTCACTTGATTTGATTCTGTTCAAGAAAGCCTTGCACTCCGAGTGTACAAAGAATATGCCAGAAGATAACTTGTATTAGCAAAATACATTACTACCTAAAGTGCAAAAACTCATAAAGAAGAACATTAAGGAAAAATGAAAACTATGCGAGAAGTGTCTCAAAACAAACATACAAAAGAGAAATCAAACACCTCTGTGACAGCATCAAATTCTGGTTTCCCGGAGAATAAATATCAGGAATGAAGAAATCCAAGCCCTAAGATAGTGAATTGTATCGAAAAATTCTTCCTGGGATGGACACCAATACAAACAACAACAAAAGAAAACAACAAATTCAGCATTTGGATACACACACTCACGTGGTGCTGAAAGGAACAAATTGCAGCAGAAGATATTTCATGTTTGGACTCGTTTACACACAAGAAAAATACTATATTGCGACAGCTGCATAATCACATAATAGGCTCAATTTATTGAAAGGACACACAAATTATGCATGAATATGTTGCCAAATAAGAGAAGTCCCATAAAATCTTGCTGGTAAACAATATCAAGGTATATAGTGAAAGTGCGGCCCAGAGACAACAAACTATGCACTCTCTGTATGACACACAAAAACAAAGCAGCAATTTTGCGCTACACAACTGCAAGCTTGCTAAAACCAAAAGGCACTATAAAGTCACTGGATGGCTTTCAGTGAGCGGTTCTAAACGAAAGTTTTGACAGCATCTATCCCACCAATGCATCTCGTGCAGTGGTATAAAAGGGGGCATGAAATGAATACAAATTAAAATTTTAATGAGGCCAGAATACCTCGAGCCTCAATATTCCTGTATTCAAGCATTTTCATAGGGAGCCAGAAACAAATATACTTGCAGAAAATTATGCCCTAAATAAAGGTAGCGATTCACTGCGCAAATTTTCAATACAGCACCAATCAACACACTGAGGAACAAAACATCAGCATGATACGGGACAGAAATTATCCTTATTTTCCATTGCACACGCGCTATGCAATGTTACAAAAATAAATTACTTAAACAAAACCGATACATTGAAATACAAGCATAGAATGAGATGACAATAAAAAATACATATATATTAGTTCATACAGGTAGCTCTACACAGAATGGAAGCACAAAAGTGAAATGATAATATTGTGGATTATTACACTCTTTTTTGACAGATGAGAAATGAAATGGCTCATCAAATATACTTACAGGGCAGTAGCAGCAGCACTGGCTTCACTGCGTCACCTCTATTTGCTTACAAAAAAACACCTTTTTTTAAAAAACTTGTAACGGCTGCATTAAAGTAGCCTTTGCTGCATGGTGTGTGTGACTTGCAATGATTATAAACAACTTCCTCCCCCTCCAAAAACAAATTCTGCATAATAGCCTAAAAACTAGCAAGGATGCATTTCTGCCCATTCTGCTTAGCCTAAAACCAATATGTGTGGCCATATTTTCTACTTAATGGCTGACAGAAATAGCATGCTTTTATGCACATTACCTGCATTTAAAATAATAGGTTTAAAAACAAAGTGTAGTGTTTGCACACGAAAGTTGAAATCCCTAAGTAACACATGAGATAGAAAAAACAACATGGATGATGCCATGCCAAAGGGCAGTGTGGAACTTGCAGACAATTAAGGTGTGCTGTCGCAAACCAAACTGAAATCAACTGAAATCAACAAAGAAGCAATGGAAGCTACAATTGCAGAATACATAAAGCAATATTGATTCTGAACCTCACTGTTTCATTTGGTTGAGAATCTTGAAGGGCTTTTTTTTTTGTACATTATACTTAAGTTTTTTTTTTTCAATATTCTACAAGTGGTTAGGTGACAATCAGAGTAAGTAATTCATGTGATATTTAGCACAAAGTACCTTGCATCAAGAAAGTTACAGAAAATTATGGGTGCTCGCTTTCCAAGCAATGCTTTTTTTCTTTCTAGACTTTTTTACAGAGTGGTGAAGGTTCAGAACTAAGCTCTTCCTGACATAATTTTCTGCCAGTGCATGGCAGGTCATGAAATCCTAGCTAATTGATATTTTTGCCACCAGCTGACACCACAAACCCAGCAGTTCATGTTTTCTCCTCCGGTACAAACGCCAAGAAGCCAATCATATCAGTCGCACAAGCAATGTTGCAGGAGGATGACATGCCCTAAAGCAGGACTGGCTGAAGAGTTGATGCAGGGTCCACCAGTGTGATCTGTAGCAATGTGCATGTTTACAACTTAATAGTAAATTACACTCTCCACGGTGCTTAAACAGCACTGTTGAAGATTTGAAACACATGCAGTGCCAGCTCAAATGGTTTACAAAAATTCATCAGAACAGTTTTAGGGTCTCTTCCATCTTAAGATGTAGCCTTGGCACATAAACCATGAACAATTGCAGTAGTATTTCCCACTTTTACATCATCTTGTCACAAGACATGTACATGGCAGCCCCTTTCTCCCTAAAAAAAAGGTTGATGCAAAACTGTGCAGGAGGGTAAAGTGTACAAAAGTTATACAAAAGTGCTATTGTCGATTACACCAGCAGCCTCAAAATGAAATATGAGCAGCAGTATGCCCAGTACAAACTGAGATACAAGGGCAACGATACTCGAAAACCACCGAATATTGCAACCAAAATTATCAATTAAATTGCAGCTGAAACGCAAAAAGTTGACTCACTATACTTTGCCCATATGACATTCACAATGCTACTACAAGGTTCAGGTAACTTCATTTTTTATAAACACCCTTCTAAGCCTAGCTGTGCAATGCCATATTCTTGCACCCCCCCCCCCCCAAGATCTGTTATCCTACAAATTACCACACCAGTGTAAACAATGATGTTACCATGTGGCCTAGTAACAGGCAAGTGCTCATGTTGGTACCAGATAAGCCCATCACGAAAGAATCTAATCACATTTGGAATGTAGTCCTCTCCTCACTAAAGGCTTACACAACTAGTCATTATCAATTACTGGGAAAGCGTTATGCATTTACATGATAGTTAAATATTGGCCACAGATTCCTAAACCTCGCACACGCAACCAACGGTACACATGCAAGCATTGGGGCCACGCTGTTTTTCCCTGTCCACGCTAGTGTACACACAACTGTCTCGCACTATGAGAATTCTAAAACTTCCCGTGAAATGTGAGCACAGTATCAGAATTGATCGTGAATGCCGCCGAGTTGCAACGGGAAGTTGGACAGTCATTAAAGTACTGCAGCTGATGCACATGTTTTGCCCGAGTGCAACACACGATATTTCATACTTATTCTCGGACCACACACATACGACTTCACAACAAGCAAACGCTGGTGATTATCGTGGTTCCGAGATTCTCCAGCCCGGCACAATTAGTAGGATGAAATAAAATGGTGGTACAAGTAGGACCATTACTTAAGGACTGCGTCAGCGCGCATGTAAATGGTGCCTGGCGGAGGTCTTGAGGCTGCGAGTGATTGGTGAATAGGTGGTGGATAGCAGCGCACATGCTCAACAGGCAAGCTGTCAGCATCGCTCGTCTTCAGATATTTGTTGAGCACAGCAAATATCTGCGAGTTGAGCACTTGGAAACGCCGGATACGATCCACCATCCTCTTCAGGGGCTGCAACATAAAAGTGGCGGGATAAGCATTCGTTTGAAGGAAATTCAGTGCTAACCAGTGCGCTGACAGGATGTGCGGCAATTTTCCCTTCACAAAAACAATCTGCCAAGGTGAACACTAGGCATCTGCGAATAGTAAATCTGAGGTTTACAGTGAATTCCAAGCGAATAGTGGTTTGATCAAATGATTTCAAACCAAATTTGAATAGTACATATCAAATGTTAAAAAGAAAGATTGTCACGGGCCAACTGCATGATATCTTTTAAAAATTGAAACAAGGCATGTGCAAATGTCAGCCTTTTCGGTTGAATAGAAAGTGGAAGCAACTTTGAATATAGTTGACTCTCAGCAAACGGGAATCTGTTAACAGCATTGCTGCTTAAGTGGAGCAATCGTCTCCGCTATGATTCGCTTAGTACTTGTATTCTGCATCTCTGTTCATCTCTCGATGAACAAAATTCCGGTTAAATGAAACATACTTTTCTGAACTCTCAGTTTAACGAAGGTATACTCCGGTAGCAGTACTCAAGTTTCAGTAGAGTACAAGTGGTGACCTGTGAAATATGTTGCATTTTAAAGTTTACTATACTTGAAGCTTAGCTGGTATAACAAGCTTTCAAACTCAAAATATGATGAATCAATGTGAGAATAATGTTCACTTAACCTTGAAACGAGGCTTCGCAGCAGTGCAGATTTCCCCTAGACAGGTGTAATCTCTGTACAACACCACTCTACTGCTGTGAAATTACCTTTACAGAAACAACATGTCTATGTTTATTTGTACATTTCAAATATTTCAAAATATTACATATTTCAAATTCATGTCCAAGTGAATTCAAATACTGTCAAATCCGTTTGAATATTCAAAGTGCTCGAATAATTGCACATGCCTAGTAAACACGCGAGCACTGTATTTAACAGCTAAGTGCGAAAGTCAGTAGAACTTCACAACTGAAATGATAGAACCTTGTATAGCATCAAGCTTCTTCGTAGTCCAAAATTCTTGAAGCGCCCTTAAAAAAGCACTGGCTAACACACTTTTGAACATAGCGAACAGCACAGACTCACGACTATCGTGTGCTATGTCACACACATGTGACCCGTTTGCGTTTTGTCTTCTCGCACGGTGGGACGGGCTTTGAAGGATAATGGCAGGCGTAATGGCAACCGAAGGTAAAGTCCCTAAGTGCCCGCTTCGCAATCCGTCGAAATCTCACAAAGTTGGCAGCCAGCATGCATAGTCTCTCTGCGTGTCTGAAAGCAATAAACCTTCCAGATACCTTCCAGAAAAAGTTTGTTCCGGTAGGTTCTGACAAAACAATAGTAGGCACAATTATCCAGCCTGAGAAAAACAAGCACTGACTGGAAGAGCGCTATGCAATCAGTGGAGCATCCTGAAACTCATGGAGGCTAAAATGAACGCACTCCAGCAGAAAAATATGCAGTTAAGGACATCTTATCGGCCATATCCACTGGGCACAAAGGCAGCATTACTATGGTTATGTGTCTTGGTGTATTGAGGAGTGACAGTCGACATCCATTCTTTGTGCTGCATTGTCAGATTCACAATGTTCCCCCGGCTGTTAATGTAGACATGGTGCCTGAACAAAAGTGTGTGGAAGGAGTGTGCATCAATGTACCGTGCTATAGATGACGGCTTTTCTATGTTCAGCAAAGTCGTGCCAAGTGCCAGGACATTTTTTCTTAATGCCGTTTGAAGATTTTGACAGCCAGCGCTGGCACTTGCCTTCGAGTCAGCCTGTTGTTGACAGAGAGCTCTGAACGAGCTGCTTGGAGAAGACATAGAGGAGACAATCGAGTTAACTTGAAGAAGATGCGGAGCGGTCAAGTGAGCGAAGCAGCGCCAAGGGAGGAGATTAGACAATGCGCAGCAGCCGCCACCGTTGCTACGGGGCGGCTGTCCGCCACTTGCCCCTTCCAAGGCATGCGAGAGGGCCCTTTTTGCACACATGAATGAGAGTTTAAGGCTGCAGAACGTATCATACGACCGCATTTTCTTGCAGTGCTCAACGTTGCTGCTGAATAATCCCATTTTCTGGAACAGTAGTAAACAGAATGCAATGCACATAGCTCTTTGGGGTTTTTAGTTTTTGCGATTTGCAAACGTAGGTGCTGCAAAATCGTGTTAAGCAGGAACATATCTATCAATGAGGTTCTACCGTATATGGCACTTTTTTAGAAGGGTTTTTAGACAGGCTCCGTGGATAACAGCAGGCATAGTGGCAACAGAAGGTGAAGTCTCCACTAGAAGGGTACAGACCTTCAAGACTGCAAAAAATGAATGGCGGAAGAAATATGGCTGAAAGAGTATTAATGCTTACTCCAAAGCTTTACAATATCAGGTGATGACCAAGCCAAGAGGGACAATCTCTGCCCCCCCAAACACAAGCAGCTGGCCAGAACATAATCGGGGGAGGGGTAAAATTTGCACAAATGCCAGTCCGAGTATGAGTGAGCTAGACGATTCGACAAATAAGGTATTCCAAGGGCTGACTTGATGGAAACATTGTGGCATCCTGCAGCATAACCCCATAGAGTTAAATTGCTGCTTCGCTAACTTATGCTGCCAATACCTAATCGGGGAGCGTGTAGCAGTGAGCAGGCAGGCCGAGACACAGGAAATAAATATACAAAACTACCGCATCCCACACATTTTTTTTTTCTGCCTGCGTTTTCTTGCACACTGACATTGTGAACAAATTCAGACTTGTTCACTTTGAAATTCCTGAAGTAGTCGCAGACATGTAGTTCTTGATTTCATCCCAGAGGAATCCAAAGCAGGGACTTACAATGCCCTTGACCAGCTCGTCCTTGCCATCGACTCGCTGAACGCGCAGAATGTGATAGCAAAAATCGAGGGCCTCAAAGCGACGCTGTTGGCCCAACAGCACAATCATGGCACAGCCAGCCCAGTGTAGTCCTTCTCCAAACAGTTGCCTGCAGGAAAAGAAAAAAACACCCACGCACACTCTTTATTGACCACTATAATACACTACGTTTCTCTATGCGGTAATTATAGTACAAGCTATAGTGCGGTACCAAATGTTATCCATTCTGCCATACCTAATGGGTCAACATTTTTTTAATACATATTAACATGGTAGTGTTAAAGAGCTCGTTCCACAAACATTCCGGTGTTGGCGTTGGTTGACAGTGGAAAATCATCATCTGTGTGCGTGATTAAAAAATCTAGAAAGATGCAAAGAAAATAAGTAGTAAAAAATTTCAAGCCTGAGTGATGATTGAACCCACTTTGTTTGCATGGCAACCAGGTATTCTACCACACAGCCACATGTCCGATTGAAAATACAGTAAGAGTAACTTCCTCTGCTTGGATATGCATGAAAGTAACTTTCATGCTTCACAAATACGTGTGTCCTGTATACATGCTTCATAATACAACATGTAATATCGCAGAAATAATGCATCGTACAAGCATACATTTCCATTGGTTGCCAGAAAGTTTGATTATCGCAAATACTTCATGGTTTAAAGCTGGCCACTCACCATAAAAGGCACACACGTTACAGGGCGTATTCCCTTTAGGCCACGCAGCAGTTGCATAACAAGTTCAAAAAAGATTTCATGTGCATAATTGCCCGTGGTTTAAAGCATGCTACCATTTACAGAGAATGCAGCCACATGCGAAAGCTCCACTGACACAAGCCACTTTCAACTTCACTGATTACGTTGTAGTCATCCACAATTTAAACTTCCCAAGTAAAATCATACAATAAAAAGCATGCAATAAGTGGTTGAAATATGCACTAGAAACAGGATATAGCTATTACGTTCAACTCTTAGAGCCGTAACTTGAAGGTCCCCAATTGTTTTTATTTCTTTGTACAGTTGAAAACCGCAATACCTAAATGGCCGGGGAAGCACAAATTTTGCTCCTGCGGGAATTTCGTTGGCTCGAGAATGCGGCAGAAAAGACATGGAATTTACGAAAAACGCATTTTATTTCCAAAAGTCAGTAAGGTTACTTTGGCGGGCCTTACCATGCATCAATTTCATACCACTCGACTCACTGTAAGAAATGGTTCATCGCCACATCGTCATCGTGTTCGCCGAAAAACGAGTGAATTGTGTCGAAGGCAGTCAGCACATCCTGCGGGCTTGTTTTCTCTGGCTGCTCCGGTCGTTGCTCATCGGGATCGGCCGCCTCGAACACGCTACTGACGATGGCTTCATCAGTCACTTCCTCGTACACTATGACGCCTTCGTCCACGCAAACAAACTCATGGAGGCTGAGGCCATAGGGAATCTCGTGTGCCACGGCACAAAGTTCGCCCCATGCACTGGTCAGTGACGGCTGCACTGTGCTGTTATCAGTACCGTCATCAAGTGCGCCTACGGGCGAACCTTATTCCGGCTCCGCTGGATCAGTGCATGATGACTGTGGAGTGACAAAGCTGGCGTGTGTGAAGCAATTCGTTATCACGACTGGATTCGTCACAATCCATGCTGCGGTGATCATCTCTAGTGCCATGAACATGTCCACGTCAGTGGGACGCTTTAAAGATTTAGCAGCAAACGCTGAATAAGCCTCTCTCTGTAAGCGCACTTCACGCTGCGAATAACACCCTGATTGAGGGGCTGCAGCCCCAAAGTGCAGTTTGGTGGAAAGAACACCAGGCGCATGTTTTCGAGCTGCACGTCATGGGCGCTACAGTTGTCGAAAAGAAGGCAGACCAACCTGTTTGCCTTCCACATGTCGCATCGAAAGACTGGAGCCAGCTGCTAAAAACAGCCCGTGTCATCCACGACTTCAAGTTCGCGGTGTAGCTTACTGGCAGCCTGCGATTCCCCTTGAAACAGGGGGGCTTCTTGCTCCTTCCAATAATGAGCAGTGGCTGTTTATCTGTGCCATCCATGTTGGCGCACAATAAGATCCTCACGCGCCGCTTGCTGTGCTTGCCACCGTGGTACTTCTGGCCTTAAAGTCCAAGATCTTGGATGGCAGCATTTCATAAAACAGCTCCGTTTCATCGGCATTATAGAGGGCTTGTACTGGGCTATAGAGGGCATGTCCGAGGGCTTGTACCGGACGAGAAGTTCTTTGTTGCTCACAGCCACAACGACATTGTCTTCAAGTCGACGGCTGCTGCCTCCCCTGAGATGACTTTGGTCACGATGTCGTGGCGAGCTTTGAAACGGCTCAGCCAGCCGGGACTCTCCTTAAAGTTGTTGTAGCCGAGCATACAAGTGAGGTCCAGCGCCTTCTGCAGCAGGATCCTGCCAGATAAAGGCACCTTGTTGGCACACTGTTCCCAAAACCACGCGAACACCGCCTTGTCTACATCCAAAAACGCTGCAGCCGTCACGGTTTTGTTTCTTGTGCTCGTGCCGTTTTCAAGTGCACCAAGAATGGAGGCCGTGTTCTTGAGATCGAGGAGAACGAGCTGCAAGCAATGCCAAATTTTTCGGGGATGTCCATTTTTTTTCTGCCTTTTTCCACCTCGCTGATGATTGCAGCCTTATCTTCCAGCGTGATGAACTTTCGCTTTTTCGTTGGGGGCGGCATCTTCACAGGCAGCGAAATCGGATGATGCGATCGCAACACACGGTTCATGTTGCACCAAGCGACCAAGCCAATTCTCCACAAATGGCTCTACACACGCGACCTTGTGTACACAAAGCCGACAAAGCCAAGCACAGAGCCAAGCCAGCGAACGAAACTCCATGAAGAATGTGAATTTGGCTATGTACATAGTCCGCGATAACGAGCAGGTGTTTCGGCAAGCCATCATCATCATTGTCGCCAGCTTTACGTTTCTTTTATAAACAATGATGGCGGCTGCTTATCAAGTGCGCTTAGCGATAGTTTTACACAATTTAACTGTAGCATGAACGCATTTTAGCAGTTTTCGAATGTAAATGTTGCGAGAGTAGATTATTTGTGCACTCGTGCTCCAAAGATTTCGTTAATGAGGGACTGCGGTATGAATATCTTTTGTAGTCATAACGAAATTCATCGACTCCTATAAGCGTTCGCCAGTGCTCCAAAAATATTTCGTTGCGGTGAGAATTTTGTTCCCTTGGGATTTCGTTATTGCGGGTTTCGACTGTACCAGAATATATGTATTGGGTGTTTTATGCAATACTAATACGCATGTAGAAGCTAATTGACTGCAGTATTTTGCATATCTGCGATGTGAAATTACCCGAACAGCTAGGCAAAATTTCTGTCCTTTGCCTTCTGCAGCCTGTTTTCAATAAAGAACATAAGGACATCAAACAGGTAGCCATCTTCTCGTAAGCTTTCATTCATTCTGAATGAATAAAATATAAACATACTGTAACTATCATAGATGTTGAACCACATTCTAGCCACAACATTGGCTCCTTTATCTCACCTCAACATGAACCCAAATGTTTGATATTGCATGTCTGCCTGTACCCTGCAGGTAATGTCAATACTATTGTTGCATACTATAGTCAAAACTCAATAAAATGAACTAGCATAAGGATGACAAGTTGGTTTGTGATATTCGATTATTTGAACTCCAGAGATAAAAATGAGCTCTAACAATTCGCCAATCTATCTTTTGCAAGAAAAACATCATTTTAGGTCTGAAACCCACTATAGACAAAGTGATCTTAGCCTATCTCCTTGTGACATTTCGAACTAAATAGGCCTAATCATAATAAGGCAAACTTGCAACAAAAAAAATCACAGCATATCCACGGAGTGAATGATGATTGGTGGGGCGCAGCGTTCGTCAGTCTGTCTGTCCATTCGTTCTTGTGTCCGCCTATCTGTGTGATCCTTGGTGCATCCGTCCGTTTGTTCGTTTGTCTGTCTGTCTGTCCATCTCTTTTGGCGGCCATCCCTCAGTCTGTCCATCCGTCCGTGCGCCCCTCTGCCTGTCCGTCCGCGCGTGTGTCAGCCCGTTCGTCCGTCCAGATGCCTAGAGAAAACTCCAAGCACAGCCATCTCACATCTCTTCATCATGTATTCATTCTATGCAAGTGCCTCCATCCAGCAGGCATTGTGAGGACAGCTATTTCGGGTATGTGCCACTGGTGGTTACGTACTACGAGGGACGCACAAGCCACGCCATAAGGAGCTTCGCCCCTAAAAAAAGTTCATTTCACAAAATGTCTAACCGAACTGTTGAAGTCACAGCCACATGGTAAAAAGAGGTAGTGAAAAGTGTTTCAATATTTATTTTTCTTTTTATGCTACCTTTTGAAATTGAGCTTCACGTGAACCAAACAGTTCTTCATTACAACTGGTATTTAGCACCTCTTAACCTTTCAGTTACATTATAGAAAGAAAAAGAAATGCCACTGAAATTAAGCATGACCATCCACATAATATGCTATATCAGTGTTCGTAATAACAAGGTTCACCTGTACTGGCTTCAGCATGTATTAATGCTGCCAAAGATACTTTGAAAACAACTAACTCGACAGTGAACTCGTTCTCGCCGACCGGGATGCAGTAGACAAACTGCAGGGCACTCCACAGCCTGTGGAACTCGGTGCACTCCTCCACATTCATCACTCCATTGGCCGGGGGAGGCCCCACCCACAAGGGGTCATCCAGGTAAGACTTGATGCGTGTCAGGATGACCTCGAACACTGACAGGCCACAGCACAGGCGCTCCTTCGTCAGGAGGTCTCCCTCCTTAGCTATGCTGGCTTGCTGCACAAGGTAAAGCACAATACGTACTACATTTTCAAAATGAATATGAATACCGTATTTACTCGCATAATCCTCACACTTTTTTGGGCTGAAAACCAATGCAAAGTTGGGGGGTGCAAGAATTACGCAGGGAAAACTTTCCACGAAAACGTACAGAGTGAAAAAGAAAACGAAGTGGCTGCAAATTGGGATTCTCACACCAGCGACTAACAGCAAGATTTGAGAAGTACTAATTAAAGCTTACCTCAACAATAAATGCACAGGTTCCACACAAGGCAAAATTTATTTAGACACAAAAAGTGCAGGCAAATAGTCGAGAATTAGAATACCATATGCAAAGCTTGTGGGCGTTGCGGGCATAGCGGTAGCATTCGTCATCAGGAGCCCTCAAAAGGTAAGCGTAGGACGTCAGTATTGGGCTGATGGCTATTTAACAGAATAGTCTGCAGTTTCCTTCTGAAGAAATAAAGTTTACCATCAATTCCAGTTTTAGGCACACGGCAGGCCCAACACGTCTTGGTGGCTTTTAGCTGCCATCACGAGTAGCGAACACAAAACTCGTCGACTCCAAAGGGCCTACCCGCGGCCCTGTTGCCGCTGTTTAGTGCATGATCTATCACTTTCAACTTGAAAGCAGCCGTGTAGCTTCAGTATCGCCCCATAACACGACAAGATTACAGACACAACATACAAAACATACCACAACGTGCACTTGCCCCTTTGGCTTGGATTAGGTTGACTCTCTGTGCGATAATAGTACGCTTGATGCTTAAGAGATAGCGCCAGATGACGCACGCTATCATCGTCAGTGGCTGGACCGACCATACGACATTATTGCGGCAGTTTTCGGGGGTGCAAAAATTACTCGAGAAAAAAAAAAAAATCGTATTTTTGTAGGGTGATGTGGGGGGTGCGAGAATTATGCGAGTGCAAGGACTACGCGAGTAAATCGGGTACAGCAGAGCCAACATGTTTTGTAACGTGACCAGAAAAACTTGCGGAAGTCGGAAAACCAATAGAGCAAACATGTGATTAACACTGGGAAAAAGTTACGCTACTTAATAAAACAGATCCTCAAGACTATGGCAAGAAGACGATAAAAGCTTGCGATGAAAATAACCAGGAAACGGGGATTGTGAGCTCAAGTCGATGTTTTGACGAGCAGACAAGTGTCTTCCTCAGTTCTGGTCTTGAGGAAGCAAGTCCACTAGTGAAACGTCGGCTCAAGCACACAACTGGTTGTGAATTTTTTTCATCACAAAACAGACGTATGGCACACAGGTCAACCTAAGAAGAATTTACTGATCAGATTAAGGCTCACAAAAGTCTTTGACAGAAGTCTAGAACCTCTTTCGTGGCTCTGCCAGAACCAGATCCTTTCAAGCAACTGTAAGGTCTTGATGCAGTTCACATTCGAAACTCTCTGGTGAACCTCCTCAGCATGTACAGAGCAGCGCTATTCTTCCCTAAGAATATGGCCACCGATCTGGTCTTGGACAATCTGGCACTGGCTAATACACTGATTCCTCCACAGCTGCCCGAACTTCATGGTGATGTTTTAAAATACATTCTCCATATTAAGGGTTGATCCATGACTACTCACTGGTGGGCGTTCACTAGTATATCTGAACTGCTATCTGCCGTTAGAATCAGAAGTAAGAACATTGCTTTTTTATGAACTTAGAGGTAGGAAAAAAACAACAATAGTTCTGACCGGTAGCCAACGCTATGCAGTTGCGGATCAACCCACCATAAAGAGTCCTGAAGATGTTCTCAATGAAATGCACAAATGGTATTATAGGCAAGCTACAGATTTGTTGGTTGCTTTTTGTTAAGCTGTTTGACTATGTGTCCAACTGCGTCACATATCAGCTTCAGAAAATACTCAATTGGCTGCAGTTGCCATGCATAGCATTGTAGCTGCAGCAAAATATGAAAGTTGAACTCAGCTATCACTGGAAGTGAACCCCACAGTGTGTGACAGGAGATCTCTTTGTGTGAAAATGTGGGTGGGCGCATGTGTGTCTGCGTGTCCAAATGTGTGTTCGTGTATGTGTTTTGGAGTTGCTAACACTCCCCTGTAAAGTTGCTTGCGCTTCATAGGGCACGCATCTTGTGCATAGGCCGCATTGCGGGTTCACAACTATCGAGTGGAAGGTGGCGTTGTGCCCGCGAGCGTGTGTTATTGCCACCATCATCATCATGGTTAGTGCGTAGCACCAACAGCGACGCCTGGCAGCAGGCCTGGGTGGCAGTGCCCAAAATATGAGCGGTCCTCTTTGGCGGGTGGCGGCTAGCGCGAACGGTTGTCTCTAGCGTGGGTCCCCGGTGCGCGGCACCGCGGGTTGCTCGTGGTAGTCAAGCATTGGCGATGCCGACTTGGGTGTGTTATTGTGTTTGTTATGTTTTGGAGAATTGTGTAATATTGTGTAAGGTTGCTTTAGCATGTTGACCCCAATTGATGTTACAATAATACGGCTGACGATATCGTTGATCTAAAGCAGTTGAATAAATGTGTGTTGCTTGAATCGTTCTGACCGTGCCTACTATCTCTGTTCACTCCAAGAGCGTGGTGCTCTCTCTCCATTTCGAGACCACACAGTGCGTGGGTGTGATTTGCCTCCAAAATAGGGGGAAGAAGGGGGAGTGGGTCACGAAAGCACGATCCCCCTGCGCCCCTTCCCAGCTAGTGTGAAACTTCGTGCATACCTGTGACTCCGTTGATCATAAACTTCGATCTCACGAAGAACAGTTATCACTGACAACAGGAGTCATACCTTTGGTGTTCCAAGGCGTTCGATAGTCTGCACCACCTGCAGCGGACCGTACTTGGCTTCAAGACGCTTCAACTTGGTCTCCGGTTTCTCTCCATCTGTGAAAATCAGCAAGTGTTAAGATTAGTGATGTGAACTACCAGAGTGCATCAGGAGCATTAAAAGGAAATAGAAAAGGGTCACACTTTTGCCGCAAGGGCGAAGCAATGATTGCGATAGCAAAAAAAATGGAAAGTCACACAAAAAACGACAAGCAGCTTGTTACCTGTAGCGCGCTGCTGAAGCTCAAAGATGGATGCTGGACAAAAACATGCAGGCGTACGCAAGACAAACATGAAATAACAACTGTCACAGCTGTCACCTCTTAGTGTTTGAGCAATGCACTGCAAGTGTCGACAGTGCAGAACCAGAGGGTATTAGGTATGTCTTTGTCTTTTCAAACGCGGCACGTAGAGTGGCCCCTCAGCATCTCCTGACAGGTGATAGCGCCTGACCCAAGGTGCTCCTGGCGATCTTTGTTTTTTTTCTTTTCCACATCACGAGTACAAAAAGAGGCCCCTTTTTGTGTGCGTCTCAGGGGCAGTTTTTAATTTGAAAGAAAATGTAGAAGCATTGAACGATAGCAAATGGGCTCAAGCTCCTCTGAGGTCTGCCTACTGCCAGCGATAAATGGTGTTATATAGATAGCTTGCCTTTAATATGCCAGTGAAAACATGGTGCATGGTACAGTTCTCCAACACGGCATGTTGTGGAGCGACGCTGGTTCGAATCCCCGGTCGGGCGCTTCGGAATACTTTTCTTCAGATTAATTTTTCTTTGGGACTTTTTGATATATATACGTATACAGTAAAAGCTCGTTAATTTGACACCCGTTAATTCAGAAATTCGGATAATTCGAACTGTTGGTCCCGGCCAAAGTGCATGTTAATCTAAGGGACCAAACCTTCGTTATTTCGTCGGAATTCGGCTCCGCACCGCTTAATTCGGACAAATGCTGACGGCTGCTGCTTCACAAAAGTGTGATAAAGCAGCGCTGGCACCACTAGAGTGAAACCGAAACCTGAGTGGCATCGCCATCATCATCAACTAGTGGGGGCGATCGCAGCGCCTCCGACGCCATTTTCCCTTGTGTTGTCGTGTCGGAACCATCTATTCTTGCGGAGTTCTCTTTTTCTTTCATTGTGACCATATTTGCATGCCACCACCGTCGTGCGCTACAGTGATGGCAACGCCGAAAAAGCGGCAGAACCTCGACGCGAAGAACTTAGGGACTAAAGTGGAAATTTTGGAAGCACTGAAGAACGGCGAATCGCGACAGCAGGTTATGACCAAGTACAACGTGAAGCGGAGCACGTTGGGAACGTACGTGAAAAATGAACAAGAGATTCGACAAGCCTTCGAAAGCGAGAAGTTTCATGCCTCTAGAAAGCGGTTGCGAACCGCAGCTCATCCCCAGCTCGAAGAAGCTTTGCTCCGGTGAATTACTGACTGTCGCAACGCGCATCTGTCTGAGCGGACCTCTCATCATGGCGCAAGGTGAGAAGTACGCTGCAGTGATGAACATTGAATCGCTCAAAGCGTCAGAAGGGTGGTTTGCGAGGTTTCGAGAGAGACACGAACTTGTCTTCAGGAATGTGTGCGGCGAAAAGGCCTGTGTTGACGAAAGCGTGACCACCGAGTGGAGAAATGTGAAGCTGCTGGAGCACATCGCCGCATATGAACCACCAAAGGATAACTATGCTTCTTGCCGCCAATATGACTGGCACGGAGCGCTTGCCACTACTTGTCGTCGGGAAGGCGCTTAAGCCACGTTGTTTTAAGAACGTCAAAAGCCTTCCTGTCGAGTACACAGCGAACAGGAAGGCATGGATGACATCGGACATTTTTCGCAGCTGGCTGCAGCAGTTGGACCGGCACTCCACGTCGAAGGACCGCAAGATAATTATGGTTGTTGACAACTGCAGTGCCCATAACTGTACAGTCGAACTGAAGAGCATCAAAGTAGTTTTTTTGCCACCCAACACTACGTCTGCTCTTCAGCCGATGGAGCAGGCTATCATTCACTACGTGAAGTCGAAGTACCGCAAGCACCTGCTAGAGCGAATGATCCTATGCTCAGAAGCTGGAAAGTTGTATCAAGTGGAATTACTCGGCGCAGTGCACATCATCGCCCACGTGTGGAAAAACACTCTGCCGCAAGTCATCGCCAACTGTTTTCGGCACAGCGGTTTTGTGAGGCCCAAGCATGCAGCAGTAGCTGACGATGGCATCGAGGAGGTGTCAGCCGAGTCCACCGACGATGACTGCCTGACTTTCGATGCTGTCCTTCCCACAGATGTGACCTTTCAGGACTACAACGCGATTGATCATGGTGTCGCCACGAGTGGTCTCCTGACCGATCAAGAGATTATTAATGATGTCACGGGCGGCCATGAAGACCACGATTCCGACGAAGAATCATGCAAGGAGGTACAGCCGCGACCTCATCGCACCTCACGGGAAGTCTCGGAGGCGCTGTTAATATTAGAGGACGCTTGCCTGAACACTCCCGACAGCTTGCGTGCTGTTGGCCATTTGGAACAGTTAAGAAATATTGTGATGTCAGCCGGAATCTGCGCGAAAACGCAGACGACAATTACAAAACACTTCAACAAATAAAGGTATGCTTCTGCAGCTTGATTTTAAATCAAGCTGCTTGTTTTCCCTGTTTATTCGTTAATTCGGCATTCGTGTAATTCGGACAGTTTTTCCGGTCCCGTGAAATCCGAATTACCGAGCTTTTACATATCCGGGACATGACGGCGATGGAGACCTACTTGCTTATTGCCTAGCTTGCCCCTTAAATTATCCTTCCTTGCCAAGCTGCAAAGCTAAGATTGCTGAAAAAATTTCCAAAGAATGATATTTACTAGGATTGTGCAAGAATCCAAATACTTCAAATATTTGAACGAATATATGAATACAGCACTCAAATTTGCTTCGGGTGGAAATGAAATTATCGAAAATTTCCAAGTATTCGAAACAGAAAGAATAGATGTATATTAGTCCGCATATGACCCCTATAAAGAAAATTTAACAATTCGAAGTTGTTTCCACTTCTTTTGAAGCAAAAAGGATAACATATGCACAGGCCTAGTTTCAATTAAAAAAGAATTTGTGCAGGTTAGATAGGTCATGACAAACATGCCCATTATAATTTAAAGTAATGTGTGATATATGTACTATTTGAATTCTATCCAAATTATTCAACCGAAACTTCAAAAGCCTTCTGGACATAAAATTCTATATTCGCACATACCTAATATTTACTTATACATGTACATACAGTCGAACCTCGCTACAACAAAACTGACAGGGCGCAGAAAAAATTTTTTTGAAGCGAAAATTTCGTTGTAGTGAAATTGAAAACAATGTAGCTGATCTGAGCTAGCAAAACAAATAAACATTTATTCTCAAAATTTAAAAAAATGTCTGCTGCTTCCTATTCTTTCACAGCAGTTTCACAATGTGATTCTCACCCATGCATAACGAGGCCATGGTGAAAAGCAGGCTGACACAATGCCACGCCTAAAATCGCCTTCGTGAACGAACCAAACAGTTGCATTAACACGTTAACACTAGCAGCTGTCCGCCGTCAAAAGTATCCGACAACGCAGAGATGGAGGCAGGGTATCGTGGAGCGGCGGCTTTTGCATTATTCTATGCCATTCTTATCCATCACTCGCGGCTAGCTGATTTTGTTAATAATGCGGACTAACAGCCACTCTGATTAGTTACCACGCTGGCCAAGCGCGAACATTATGATAAGCATCGGAATTGGAAAAGGCATCCTTCCACCCAGCAGCTACATGAAGGAAACTATGAACTGAGTGACTGAGGTTCAGCTTCAGATTGTCTGCAGCTCAAAACGCTCAAACACCAGCCAGTGGCAAAAGCAGGGCAGTCTCATTGTCATCGCTATCGAGCAATGGCAGCGTCCATGCTTGGTGAACAGCGGCAGTATAGCAGCGGTTTTTGGTGGTGCCAGCGCGTCTTTTAGACTTTGCTGACGCATTTTCAGGCTTTGAAAATGCATCAAAATGTTAAATATTGGGTTTACTGCATAGCAATAAGTATCAGAGCCTAAAATTGCATCGCAAAATTTCGTTGAAGTGGGACGATTGAAGAAAGAGTTCGTTGTGGCCACAATATTGATGCATTGACTCTTATGGACTGCTGACCGGGAATCGTGAATTTTTCGTTGTAGCAGAAATTTTGTTGAAGCAGCGTTCGTTGTAGCGGAGTTCGACTGTATTTACACTGTGCATGTGCAAACAAACAAATGAACAACCAGGCAGCACCAACCTTTGCAGTAAGGTCGAGGTAGAATGTTCTGGAATGGTGCAGCATGCTGGAGGTCGCACACTTCTTCCTGTGACTGTAAAAGATAATACGCAAGTTAATTACCACATTTTCGTTCAAATAAGAAATATTTTTTGAACATTCCATTCAAACTTGGAACAAAGTTTCAGAAACAACAATGAGGTTCATAATTTAAATCTGGATTAGGAATGGCCCAATACCAGCCACTCACAGCCGCATCTGAGAACTAGTACCAGTATTTTTGCTGCAGTAGAAAAGCTTAATTGAAGATCCTTAAAAACAGAGTTGCAGCTATTGCAGCAGGGTCACTGCATTTACTGAACCATCAGCGATAACTATAAAAAAAAAAATCTATTCCGAGAAAATGGGTCTACAAAGTTCTTCACTTGTGTTTTCTTCAAACGCCAGAAGAATAAGTAGAAGTGTCTCACGCACTAATTTCTTCTGTCACCTCGTTTTCATCTTCTTTTGGCATTGTTTGTAATTTATTTTCTTGGCATAAAGCATTCAAGTGCCGAATCCGGCAAACTCAGAAACACTCGGCGTCACGCTCGATAGCGCCGCTTCAGAGCTTGTACTACCGAGTTCGACGATCTTGGAAACACTGTGTAATTGCGGCTCCAACCACACTCCATGAGTAGGATTCCCGACTGACGACAGCTTATAGCACAGTTACGCTGCTGCAAGCGTCTATGCAGTCTGCACTCGCAGCAGAATAGCCGAATCTCGATGCTCGCACAAACCTGGTTACATAGCGTGCCTCCGTGCACAGGACCTCCGCACATCTTAGGCATTGTTACCAGCATTGTGTGCAGCAACTGACACAAAAACACATAACTAGTGCAAAAAGAACAATGAAGAGAAAACAACAGAAAAGATAGTGCAAGGCAAAGAGCGGCTCAGCCGACATTGGTCGAGGCGAACGGAGCGTAGAGCAACAATGGGGTGAGCGCGCGTCATCAAAAAAAGTGACCGCCCCAGCTGCTGGGAAACTGACTTCTCCCACAAGATATGAATACGCTGCACTAGCCAATTAGCACTTCGCATTGCTTCGTGGAAAAATACCAATAATGTCTCAACAGTACCGCCGACGCCATTTTGCAAGACGGAAAACGAGAAAAAATCCACGCTTTCAAAACAAAACCAAGATGGCGCAGGCGGACCACATGGCCTGGGAATGTTGTGCGCGCAAAGTTCGGTTTAATTTCAACATTTTTCGTGCGTTTTGGATGTTGTCGTGGCCTCGAAAAAAAAAAAAGCATTTCTTCCTCTTGCGGTTGAATTAGGTGCTGATAATTAGAGAATAGGTAGTTTATGAGACATACAATCCTCTGCTGTGCCACACCGGAACTGCATAGCTTCCAGCTTCACAGTCACGACATTTCCTTGACTCTAACGCATATATTGCATACCATTTCGTGAAAAGCAAGTCGATAAGGTCCCATCATGTTACTAGTTCTTTTAAGCCCTGTTCGGATTGAGTACAATGAACAAAACTCTTTCTATCAATACAAAACACTACAAAGACTAAATTTCTAACAGATGGTTATTAATTTTTGCAAACAGGCTTCCCACCAAGGCGAAAACATTGCAAGTTAGAGCAATGTTTTTGCACATATAGTATGGTGCGGTATGAAACAACATGGGGCATTTGGCCTCTATTAAAGTGAAAGTGAAAAATGAAAGAAAACAGATATAGCCTTCTCACCAAGCTTTGTTCTATGAGAAGGCAGAACAGTATGGCATTGCCAACCTCCCGAAAGCTTTGGAACATTTCAGTCTTGACATCGGGGTACTGCACAATGTCGTTCAGTTGAGCGTGGTAGTAGCCAAGGATACCTACGAGTGAGAACACAGCGAGCACAGTCAAGTGCTATGAATGCAGCAGGCGGTCACAAAAAAGTGGTCATTTGGCTTATTATTAAAGTTGCATTTAATTGATTGATTGATATGTAGGGCTTAACGTCCCAAAACCACCATATTATTATGAGCGACGCCGTAGTGGAGGGCTCCGGAAATTTCGACCACCTAGGGTTCTTTAACGTGCACCCGAATCTGAGCACACGGGCCTACAACATTTCCGCCTCCACGGAAAAAGTTGCATTTAACCATTCAGGTATGAAGCTATGAAGTTGTGCATATGTTGTGAATACGGCTGATCAGTAATAAAGAACTCGAAGCTGAAACTTGCCAGGGGAACCATAGTCGTAGCGTGGGAGCCTACAGTGCTTGGGCATTACTTTTAGGAGGGTTTTCGTGTACTGCAGCAGGGTACCTTGAATCTGCAATAAAGAAAAGAAAGAAACAAACACAAGCTATTTAGATGCATGCAGTTAACAGCCAAAAAATTGGACATAATCTCAAAATAATACATGCAGAAGCAGCAGTAATGTACAGCCGCCTACATGTATAATTATTGCATGTCAGTGGTGACTCTTCAGCATTTCAGCACCAATCGACGGTGCCATGTTGTAAAAGTCGAGAGTAGGAGCATGCCCACATAGTGGGCTGAGCTTTAGCTGTTGTTCGGTATGCTCTTCTTTTTTAAGGGCATCACGCCATATTAGCGTGATTCAGGTGGACGACATGAATAGGCAAACAGTTTCGCTCGTATTTTGCGTTCAGAAGATGAAGGTTGCAGAAAGAAATCAGCGACACAACATTTAAAGATCTTTCACATGCCCCTCCTTGTGAGATAAGGCAGGAGAACGTGGTTCGTTTGAAGGGCGCTGATATGTGTTACATCCTTAAAATAGAACAGCCTTGCAGACAATGAGCGTTTCATTGTGCTAAGTGTTACTTTCTGTCAACGCCACTCTAAAGCGATCGTGTGAATCCTTGTCAAGGCATTGATGAATAAACATGCATAGGCATAAGTAGTGCCTCATCTGTCTTTGAGACAACTCTGCTAGAACGGCGTGACTCACCAGGCTCTTAACAATTTTGAGCAGTTCCTCCATGACGACGGCAATGCCCTGGTAGCCCAGGAGCCGGCAGATAGCGCGAAAGTGGGGCGCACCCACGAAGCCACTGTACAAGCTGTAGATTTGCTGGTATGCAGAGTTCAACGCCTGCATTCGCAGATGCGCAGGGTTGATGCAGTATTAAAACATACCACAACGATAACTTCCAAGCACTGGTATACTGTCCACCGAGTCTCAATATGTAAAATAAAAGATGTGAATTAGAGAGTTCGCTGTACATTACTGTACACCCGCTTTAAAACTATCACGAAAAGTGGAGAAAAAGTAATAAGGCTGACAGCCGAGCTATAGTCGGCTTTGGATTTATCTCCAAGGAGAGCACAAGAAGAGGCCCAAGAAAAGAGTGTGAGACAGTGCAGGCCACTTTGAACCAAATGACTTATTTGAGCAAAAAAGATAATTTATGCACAGTTTTATCACCTGTGCATGGGCACATTGCCTCAAAGCAAATACAGAGAAAAAGTAAATGCGAACAATGGCATGCCAGGCACGTTGCATCAAGAAAATTATTCTAAAAAAATTCATGTGCCTCACCAGGCTCTCGACGATTTTTAGATTGGCCTAATGCTGGCAACACCATGTAAGCAATGGAGTACTGATGCATTTCTCTATGTTTCTGACATTGAAGGCTTTTATGATTAATATATATATATTTTTTACAGGTTGTGTTCATTCGGTTAGACAACTGCAAATAATTTTTTTCACTCAAGCATCAATTTTTTTCACTCAAGCTGCTTTAAAGTGTAAGCTTTATTAAACAGGAGTTTAACCACCTTTATTAAGTTAATGGCACCATCTATTAAAAAGAAAAAAGAGAACATTTTTGGCAGAGGTAGATTTCACTGGGCCAGGTGTGAGCTGACAGTCTACAAACACTTTGGACAGCTCACTTGAGCACACACCGAAAAAATGTATATGATCGGCTGAGGCAGACTCAAGCTTCTACTCTTAGTTTTGTTCAGTCCCCCCCTCCCCCCCCATTCTCTTTTTAAGTGTCCAGTGCCCAGCACCTTAGGGGCCCAGGCTGTCGTATGCTGTCGTCGTTGCGCGTAGCTTGGTGCAATGCTGGCAAAACCACATCTAGCATAGCCATCTGTAGCATATTGACCGCGCACTCATGCCAAGGAGAAGGCTTCTTCTTGTTCTTCAAAGCCTCAACGATAATAAATGTGGAGCATCTGAGGGGCCCTGGCTGTCATATGCTGTCGTAACACAGGCAAGACCACACATAAAAATAGGAGGAAAGAGGAAGCAAGCCAGAAATAGAAAGGGAAAAAAATATGAAGAAATACAAAAATGAACAGAAAAAAAAACCCGGGAAAAACAGACAGGAAAATTTAAAAAGAGAGAAAAGTGGAGAGTGAGAAAAGAAATAAGGAGAAACAAAGAAGCTTCCCAGCTCCGCACTTCCTTTAGGCTGGGCACCAGCAGAGTGCAGGTGCCTTAATCTTTTTTTTTTTTCTTTGTGAAACAATCATATGCAAACGCGAAAACGCATGCTCGTGAAGTGGGGATGCACTTGTCCTACCTTAGTGCCATAGATGTAGTGAGGCTGGGCACTGGGCATCTTTTCCCTAGTCACAGGTTGCGTCAGGGTGATGTCCTTCACCTTGACAAACCTGCGAAAAAAAAAAATGAGTGCTTTACAAAAAAAAAGTTATCACAATTATCACACTTTTCTGACACGCCGGCTCTGACTCCACAAATAGACAAGGCAATATGCAGTAAAAGCTAGTTCATTTAAATTTCACGTGACAGAATAAACAGAAGGCTAAATTATTGAAAGTTTTACAAAAATAATAAACAAACGTCTGTTAAATCAATGCATTTTTATTTTCTTGAATGCATAAATTCAGGACTTGTTTCATATCAAAGCAGTTGAAGAGCGGCAGTTGCTCACAACATTGTTCACAATGTGACCATTGAGTCGAAAGGTCTATTAAACCCATCCTGTCTAACATACCGCCACCGTCAACACCATTTTTCACCAGAAAAATGGCGAGCAAGTGATCGTTCGTCCATGACAGTATAAGAGGCGAGCACTGCATCTTCTGATGAACAAACGGGGCTTTCCAATGCACAATCATGGATAACGAATACACAATTCTGAAGGCACGCAAAGAAAATAAAACTGCTGCATGTCGAAGCTTTGACCCCAGTTGCTGTTGACGCTATCATAGAGCCCATGCAGTTCATGTTGGCCGAGTAAAATAAAAAATTAAACAAGTTGTCCACAGTCACTGAAGCCTCGGTCACAAACAATGTGATTGTGGTAAGACTCTGAATGGTGACTCCGACTTTCATAAGGCCGGTGGCCATTTTGTTGTCTGGGAATGCCATTTTCCCTCCTTTTCGTCACGTGCTTGCGGTGCTTCGTGCTTGGCGCACTGCAGGGATCGTCTGAATCAACTCAGTTTGTCGCCACATATGACCAAATTGAGGAGAGCTTGATGCCATTAAACAATACATATGCTTGTTGGGACCAGATAACATGTCTGAATTATCTTATTTCACAAATAAATCGGGTTGATTAAGAAGCTTTAACTGTATCATTTTCTTTTCGTTGTTAAAAAGCAATAACGAATGTGGAGCATTGATTAGTAACGTGTGTAATAGGTCTTGTAAACAACTGCTACTGATAAATTTGTTTCTTAACAGAAATACGAAATGAAAAAGCTAAACCTCTAAGCTTATAGTCATAGCGGTGATAATAAGTGTGCCAGACAAGTGCATACTGAAAAACACAACCAAAATCAAGCAGACCAGCAAGCGAGCAAGCTATTTCACAAAATGTCCATCTGCAGAATTGATTGATGTGCGGGGTTTAACATCGCAAAACCACCATATGATTATGAGAGACGCCGTAGTGGAGGGCTCCAAAAATTTTGACCACCTGGGGTTCTTTAAGGGGAAACGCGGCCCTTGAAAACCGAAAAATCGCGAAAAAGTCGGTTTTTGAAAAACCACATTTTTGGTTTGTATGTCTCATAAACTACCTATTCTGTAATTATCAGCACCTAATTCAACCGCAAAGTGCAAAAAAAATACTATTTTCGAGGCCGCCGCGGCGTCCAAAACAGGCGCAAATCCCGAAATCAAACCAAACTTCGCGCGCGCGCCATTCCCGGACCATGCGGTCGTCCCGCGCCATCTTGGTGTTGTTTTGACCGTGAATTCTTTCTCTCTCATTCGCCGCCTTGCAAAATGGCGTCGGCAGCACAGTTGAGACGCTATTGGCGTTTTCCCGCGATGCGATGCGGAGCGCTGATTGGCTAGAGCAGCGCATTCATATCTCGCGGGAGAAAGCGTGCCCGCCATTGGCTGCTGTGCAACAGCAAGGGCGGTCGCTCCTCTCGATGGCGCGTCCAGCGCGCTCACTTCGTTGTTGCTCTCTGCTCCGTCCGCCTCGACAGACGTCTGCTTACGAGCCGCTCTTCGTCTTGTGCTATCTTTTCGATCATTTTCTCTAGTTTTTTTTTCTTTTTGCACTAGTTCTGTGCCTTTTGCCTTTGTTGTTGCGGGCGATGTCGGCAACGAAGCCGAAGTCAGTGCGGAAGTCCGATGCGCGGAGGCGCGCTATGCGGCTTGTACGATCATCGAAATTCCGCTATTCTGCTGCGGGTGCCGACTGCGTAGACGCTTGCAGCGACAGAACTGTGTTGTCGGCTGTCACCAGTCGAGAATCCGACACATTGAGTGTGGCTGGAGCCGCAAATGCACCGAGTGTTTCCGAGATCGCCGGGCTCGACACGTGCTCCGAATCGATGCCATCCAGTGTGACACCGAGTGCTTCTGATATTGCCGGACCCAGCACTTCGTCTGAATCGGTGCCGCCATCGAGCGTGAGTGGACCGTCGCTTCATCTGCGGACCCGTTTCCTAACGAAGGAAGAAATCGATGCGAATGCGAAACGTCGTGACGCCGTTCGCGCTGAACTCGAGTCTACGCCGGCGATGCAGAAGAAATTTCAACTGATGCAGCCGGCTCTTGCACCTGCAGTGACAAGTGAGGGCGAACATTTTTCGCTCGTTCAAATGAACATCTTTAACGTCGTGCTCAGCCGCACAGTGTGCAAAGAATGTTTGAAAGGTGCTTATGACTGTCCGAGAGAGCACCAAGCTTGGACTTGCAACAAAACTTGAAGTCGTGTGCGCCTCTTGTGGCACCGTCGATAAATTATGGACATCACCCCGCAAAAAGGACACGCAGGCCTTCGATGTAAATGTCCGCGCCATAATGGCTAAAAGCAAATAGGCAAGGGCAAACAGCTCTTAATGACTTTTGGGCTGCCATGAACGTCTCTTACAGAGGTCTTCACCACAGACGTTTCAAAAGCACTTGAAAGAGACGTTCAGGAAGCCAGAGGCCACCGCTTTGGAGAAGTTTTATGCTGATTCTGCCACAGCAGTGATCAAACATATAAAGAAATGGACCCCAGCTTCTGCAAGGACATCACCGTAGTGTACGATGGCACATGGCATATGCGGGGTCACACATCACACATCGGAGTAGGATCAGTAATTGACTTCTTTACAGGTCTCATCTTGGATGCTGTAGTTCTTTCAAACCACTGCCTTGGATGCCAAACAGGGCCCAAACCTGGAGATGCAGCATACGAAAGCTGGCATAAGCACCACATTTGCCAGAAAAACACAGACGCAAAAATCGGGAAGCATGGAAGTGGAGGCAGGCTTGACTCTCTTTGGGCGGTCTGTATCAAGCATGGCCTGCGGTACACCACTCTTGTGTCCGACGGAGACAGCCGTACCTTCGCTGCCCTCACAGAAGAGAATGTGTACGGGCTAGTGCCAATTGTAAAAGAAGAATGTCTGAACCATGTTCAGAAAAGGATTGGAAGTGCTCTTCGAAACATTGTGCAGAAAAGTGATAAGCCACTGAGTGGGAAGGGGAAGCTGACTAAAGCCCTCATTGAAAAGCTGACAGGATATTATGGTTGGGCCTGAGAAACAATTCAACTGACCTAACAGCCATGCAGCGTGCAGTGATGGCAACATATCACCACGTCACATCGACTGACCAGACCCTCACCATGAACTTTGCCCAGAGGGGGCTCAATCGAAGGTTGCCGCCATAGAGCTGCAGAGGCAAAGCGTGAGCCACAGCCAAAACATAACACAGCCTACCGGACTATGTCGCTGTAGCTATGCTGCCCATCTACGAAAGACTGTCACAAAAGTCGCTTCTTCAGCGCTGCCCGGGAGCGAAGACCGCAAAATGCATCAGATCATTCCACTCCATTCTGTGGTCTCTGATGCCGAAGAAACAACACTCATCCTTGATCGCGGTAGAAACAGCACTGCATGAAGCAGTGCTGCGCTACAACGCCGGCTGCTGCAAAGCAACCCAAAGTGATATCGGACTCCATTGGACTTCAACCAGGTCATCTGGCCATCCAGCGAGCTCGTGAAAAAGACGCTTTACGCCTAAAAAAGAATTCTAAAAGACACCAGAGAAGATGGAGGCCAGGCAAAAGAAGAAAAGAGTGCGCCAGGACACTTCTAGCTACTGTGCTGGAGCTTTTGAAGAAAACACGTGTTTTGAACTTTCTCGGCCTATTTTCTCAGAACGGATTTTTTCGCTAGTTGTGGTGCTGAGGAAAGCAAGAACTCGAAAACCGTTCATCAGATTGTGTGCCGTTTTTTTTTATTCTGTTCCTGAGGCAAGACCACACATAAAAATAGGAGGAAAGAGGAAGCAAGCCAGAAATAGAAAGGGAAAAAATATGAAGAAATACAAAAATGAACAGAAAAAAAAACCCGAGAAAAACAGACAGAAAAATTTAAAAAGAAAGAGAGAAAAGTGGAAAGTGAGAAAAGAAATAAGGAGAAATAAAGAAGCTTCCCAGCTCTGCACTTCCTTTAAGCTGGGCACCAGCAGAGTGCAGGTGCCTTAATCTTTTTTTTTTTTTCTTTGTAAAACAATCATATGCAAACGCAAAAATGCATGCTCGTGAAGTGCGTATGCACTTGTCCTACCTTAGTGCCATAGATGTAGTGAGGCTGGGCACTGGGCATCTTTTCCCTAGTCACAGGTTGCGTCAGGGTGATGTCCTTCACCTTGACAAACCTGCGAAAAAAAAAATGAGTGCTTTACAAAAAAAAAGTTATCACAATTATCACACTTTTCTGACACGCCGGCTCTGACACCACAAATAGACAAGGCAATATGCAGTAAAAGCTAGTTCATTTAAATTTCACGTGACATAATAAACAGAAGGCTAAATTATTGAAAGTTTTACAAAAATAATAAACAAACGTCTGTTAAATCAATGCATTTTTATTTTCTTGAATACATAAATTCAGGACTTGTTTCATATCAAAGCAGTTGAAGAGCGGCAGTTGCTCACAACATTGTTCACAATGTGACCAATTGAGTCGAAACGTCTATTGAACCCATCCTGTATAACGTACCGCCACCGTCAACATCACCATGCGCATGTGACGCCAACTTTTTCACCAGAAAAATGGCGAGCAAGTGATCGTTCGTCCATGACAGTAAAAGAGGCGAGCACTGCATCTTCTGATAAACAAACGGGGCTTTCCAATGCACAATCATGGATAACGACTACACAATTTTGAAGGCACGCAAAGAAAATAAAACTGCTGCATGTCGAAGCTTTGACCCCAGTTGCTGTTGACGCTATCATAGAGCCCATGCAGTTCGTGTTGGCCGAGTAAAATAAAAAATTAAACAAGTTGGCCACAGTCACTGATGCCTTAGTCACAAACAATGTGATTGTGGTAAGACTCCAGGGATCGTCTGAATCAACCCAGTTTGTCGCCACATATGACCAAATTGAGGAGAGCTTGATGCCATTAAACAATACATATGCTTGTCGGGACCAGATAACATGTCTGAATTACCTTATTTCACAAATAAATGAGGTTGATTAAGAAGCTTTAACTGTATCATTTTCTTTTTGTTGTTAAAAAGCAATAACGTATGTGGAGCATTGATTAGTAACGTGTGTGATAGGTCTTGTAAACAACTGCTACTGATAAATTTGTTTCTTAACAGAAATAAGAAATGAAAAAGCTAAACCTCTAAGCTTGTAGTCATAGCGGTGATAATAAGTGTGCCAGACAAGTGCATACTGAAAAACACAACCAAAATCAAGCAGACCAGCAAGCGAGCCAGCTATTTCACAAAATGTCCATCTGCAGAATTGATTGATATGCGGGGTTTAACATCACAAAACCACCATATGATTATGAGAGACACCGTAGTGAAGGGCTCCAAAAATTTTGACCACCTGGGGTTCTTTAATGTGCACCCAAATATGAGCACATAGACCTACAGCATCTTTGTCTCCATTCGAAAATGCAGCTGCAGCAGCCGCAGATTCGATCCCGTGACCTGTGGGTCAGCAGCCGAGTACCTTAGCCACTAGACCACAGCGGTGGGGGCTCACAAAACCACGCCCCTGCTTCATCTCCAGAAAAAATGTGCATCTAAATTTTTGCAAAAACAAACAACTTCACAAATTATGTCTACGTCAGTGCCCATTGGCAAGTAGCACTAAATCTGGTTACAGATGTGATGCAACTTTATACTTATTTGGGCTGCCTCCTACATCTAGAGACTCGTGAATAGCACAGCTTTTCAGTCTTGCTCCCCTTTGTAGAAGAGTGGGCCCTAGAACTACCTACCTGTTTGTAGCAGCATTGTAACAGTAGTTTGGCAGGAAGTCGTAGTTGAGCTCCCAAAAGACATGTAGACACACGCGGCCATACGGTGCCAGGACGTTGTGATTTGCTTCTCTCAGCATGGCATCGAAGTCATCCAGGGTGACAAACTTGCTCAGCAGCTTGTGTGTCATACGATTCACTGATAGCAGGCCTTCAAGCTCCTGCATGACAAAGTGAAGGCATGTATTGTTTCCCACGGTATGAGCAATGTCTCCACTGCATCACTGAAGGCACCTCAGTATGTGTAAATGAAGCAACAACTAAGGAGGAACTGCAATATGAAAGGCTGATATTTTCGTTGTTAATCAGCGACAGTGGTCCCATGCCTAAAAATAGGCACGTTAAGCTCATTAAGCAGCAGAGGGTCTGCACCACAGAAACTTCAGGGAAAATAAGACATAATTCAAATTCAAACATGCAGCAGTTTGAACATTTAATAAATTATAGAGCAAAGCTAATCAAATACCTTTTTCATGGATACTAGATGTGCTGCCTCTAGTCGTGAAAGAATGCAAAAGAAATTGTCTGTGTGTCACATTTTTTCTTTCTTTTTAAAAGCTTTTGCTGCAGAAAAAGCAGAACAAATACAAAATTACACAATCAGCATTCCCAGTGAGAGAATTTTGTTCCAGGTAGCTACAAAAGCTGTCAAATCAAGCTTCAGAATCAGCAACGAATGCTAGAAAAGCCACCATCTTGGACATCTTTCAGTGCCAGAGACAAAAGCTTCAGCCACGAGTACAACACACCACTCGGTAAAGTAGTGTAATGGCGACACTTACGCCTGTCATAAAGTGTGTTTATGGTGAGCTAACCAAGAACCAGAGCCCGTCTCCCACTGATATTTTGGCTTTGTACATTTGTCTACAATAAATGTTTTAACAAAAGCATGCCTCTACTGCGAGGCACTTGTATTACATAATTGTTGGTGCTCAACGTCCCAAAACCACAACATAATTACGAGGGGCACCATAATGGAGGGCTCCCGAAATTTTGACTACCTGGGATTCTTTAATGTTCACATGAACATAAGTACACAGGCCTGTGGCACCTTGCCTTTATCAATATGCGACCGACACAGCCGAGATCCCGTCACACGGCCTTAGGGTCAGCAGTACTACTAGGGTGGCTAGAATGAGGAGGTGTGATGAGCGCGGCGCTTTTTGCTTGTTGGAGAAGGCCTTTCGGCGCGCCGATGCCGCTAGCGGCGCTGATGTCAGCGGCGCGGGTAGTGAGCGGCGCACTTCTCAAAGTTTTCCTCGGGTGCGCTGCTATTTTTTTTTTTTTTTTCGTAGGTGGTAGCTGCTTTACAAGTACTTCGTCAGTCGGTGATTGCACTGGGTTTCTCTGAAATGCCTGAAGGTGTCAACGACAAAAAACAAAAAAAAAAACAAAAGTAGATTCAGCGTCGCTGCACTATGCTTGTCCGCAAAACTTAATGCTTCAGTTCAGCCTCTTGAAGAGTCCCAAGGGTGGCAACGTGGATAACTTAGTGGAGGAGTCTTTCTGTCTGTAGAAAAAATGCTACACGAGATGGAATAAAAAGAGAAAGACTACGAAAGACTTCTATTTGATGCACTAGCAGTATCTGTCGCCCATGAATTGTACACCGCTGAGCGGCGGATGGTCCCCCTGTATATTATGTGGCAAGCTACGCTGTGAGGCATCTGGTACTTCGTAAAAACCGTGATGAGTGCAAGAACGCCCGCCTTGTTTGCAGTGTTGGTGGTTACGCGTTATAAGTAACACCGTTATTGGTACAGCATGTTACTTCGGCAATTATTATTTGATGCACTCGTTATGCATGTATAAATATAGCTGCTGCTTAAATTGTGCGAAGTTGTAGTTGTCAGCAAGTCAATGCTGCAACATGGTAGCGCTATTTATCAGTTCTGTTTCCAAAATAAAATTTGCTTCTGCTGATGGTACAGGTCACAGAGCGTTTAAGTTTGCAGTACCTGGAAAAGCAAGGCTCGCCTTTCCATAAATAGTTGAAATTCTAGCGGGCCCTGTGTAGGGTAAAGGGGCAAAAATTATTTACACTGCCAATATTTTAGCACTGCACTACCTGCGATTATGGTCCAGCTAGCAGATGCAGGCTGCCAGGATTACTGTAACTTTTTTTTTAGGTCAGTTATCATATCTTTTCAGGGAGGGTTGCCGGTGAAATATTATTTCGGCTTTCTGTGAAAATGGGAAATGGATTTAACATCTGCCACGACGTTTTAAGCCATCACATGCAACTCTCCGGTGCACATTAGGTTACTTATACGTCCGGCATCTTGTGCAAAATTTGCTAGTTTAATTCACCTAAATTAGCTATAGTTGTTTTGGTCACAGACTTCATTTCTTTTGTTTCTGTAGGAGAAGCATGGGGCTAAAAGCTCGAGGAATTGACAAAGTACCAACCCAGTGACAAGTTGGCAACACAGCATTACACGACACACATTCACACATGTACAATAAAACAAACTTTACAAGTATAGATGACACCAAGTACAAATACAGAAGTTATGAAACAAATCTCTGCAAATAGAGAGCGAGAAAATACATATGTATCATGACTTGGCATGCACATGAAAAGCAAAAATCAATAATTGCAGTGACCGAAATTCCGGGAGATATACTATTTGGGAACGTGAATGAGCTGGGTGAAGCATCTAATGTGACAATTTTGATTATTTGAAATTGAATATATCTACAGCACCCTAGTTTGGTAATAATCGTAAGGAATTAATTACACATAATATTATAATAAAGTGTCAAATCATCAGGACCAAAACTATACACTAGTACACAGAGACATCACCGTAAAAGATACAATACAGAAATAGGAATCATAAAGAATGCGCAAGACAGCTAATTGTAGCGACGTTTCTTGCAATATTTAAATAGATTCATAGAAAGTTCTCAATGGCAGAATAAAGGACGAAGTATCAAGTATACGGCCTCCGGTTCTTACCAAATAGTACATCATACGCAGAAAGGGCGCCTGGTTGGGTTTTAGTTTCGTACGTTTCTGCTTATTAAAATAATTTGCGAATTTCCTGGGCATTTCAGCTATTGGTCTCGTGACAAGAGTATCTGAGGAACATAGAAACACCATTCCCTTGACATGGTCGAAAAATCGCTGGAGTTGGCCTTTAAGTCCACGAAAGTTGGCAACAAATCTTGCTCGTAGGACTTTTCATTAATGGTTTTCAGAGATGAGACTTCAAAGGCTTAGGTGCCATGTACTGCCCTACACTTGCTCGATCAAACCGATTTTACCGAAAACGGGTCACCACCACACAGCGTGAGAGCAGTTTTTGTGAAGAGCGGCGCGTGCCGCCTCGTTTGTATCCTCCGCAAAGCTACTCGCGCCGGTGCATGCAGCGCCCCAAGCGGCATCGGCACACTTCGGGGACCAGTTTCGGCGGCCGCTTTTCACACCTTCCCATTCTAGCCACCCTAGTACTACTAAGAGCCTTTGTGAACTGCAGCTGGAGTGCTTGTAAACATACCACAACGCCCGTAATGTCTTGCGCCTCAAAGCGTGCCACGGCAAGCTCGAGGCTTCGTTGCAGTGCAGCACCCAACCGCTGGGCAATCAGGCGGTTCAGGTCCACCGAGCGGCCCAGCAGCTGGACGTGTCGCTGCCGCAACAGAGTCTCGTACCGGTTGGCCACGGGGTAGGCAAACACAGTCGAGTTGCTTGCACACTCCACGCGGAAGCGCTTGTCCAGCAGGATGCTGTGGTCAAAGAAAGGTAGCAAAACTGAGACTTGGGCTGCTCAGATCGCCCACCGCCAGTTGTATTCGCCACAACTTCAAGTGAGCGAATATGTCATACCTGCTTAGTGCTTTCGATGAACAAGTTCCCTCAACGCAATATAAAATGCAAACCTTTCGTCTCGCTGAGCATTTAAATTTACCCTGAAGACGAGTGAGAGACATGCAGTGCAACCCAGTAAGTGACATAAATGAATGTACACAACTCGTTTTGCAGCAGCACTCCACATTGCAAAAAAACTAATTTTAGTCACACAAGGTGTTTACATCCGTACTGTCGTAGGTTTGACGAGAAGAGGACGCTTAAGTCACCCTGCTTGAACACAATGAGCAACGATCAATATTACATTAACAACAGTAATTCATTTTATGCAACAGTAATGAACCTTTATTTAGATTGCATTTTGCAGCTTAAATGTAAGCCCTATATTGAACTAGACTTCAAACACACATAATATTTTTTTACAGAAGCTAAATGAATATACAATTGCTCTCCAAATGATGCAAGTTTCGTCATAATTTTTTTTTTTTCAAGTTGAAAGATCGCATATAAAAAAAGGGCATGCAAGTAAAGTTTTTTCTACCTGCCGGCCAGGTGCTTGTAGTAGGCAAATATCTGGTCGCTTAGTTTGTATGCAAACTGGTCGAAACACAGGTTGACCTCAGCCTCTACCTCATCGTAGAGAAACTGTTTCTTGAACTTAGTGAGGGCGTAGAATGCACTGTCGTTGTACAAGTCCAAAGGATAGAGTACGCATCTAAGGAAAAAAGAAAGCACCATGTAAGAACCTTGCGGCGAATTATGTGACATCATCTGAAACAGAAACCACTCAACATAATGTCTTCCTCGGCTTTTGAAAGAACGGCAACATTAACACTTAACAGAAGTTTTATGCCAGTGCAATAGGACGTCACACTAAGAAAATAAATAGGGGTGCATCCAGCCGAATTGCTTTCGCTTGAATTACTGTATCATTGAATAGGACAGCTCTCCTGTAAAATCTACAGGGGAAAAAAAAAGAACGACATGTTACTAGTGAAATTTACAGTGTCATCAGGAATGTTGTTTGTAATGGCAGCTGATTGCACACATACATGCTACGCATACATATACCTGAAAGTTGTATACAGATGAAAATCACTTAGAGCATACGAAGAAAAGCGTTTAGGTGAAGCACTTGCTAGGAGGCATATAAAACGAGGTCGTTTGCATAGTAGTGCTGATCATGATGCACCTTTTATAAAACATTAAAAAAGTTATGTTCTGTAGGAGTGTAACCAAATCAACAATCACATTCCTAAATATTGGGTGTGACAATGACAAATGTGTGTGCAGCCACAATCATAAAAAAAAAAAAAGCTGGGTATTGGACATAACATTCAGAGTTTCACACTTGACAGTAAACCTCGTAAATTCAAAGTCCTAGATGCTAGGAGGAAATGTTTTTGCAAAAGCAGCTCGAACGAACAGTTAACAAGGAACCGGTGATAGAGAGCCAGTAATAACCCACAACAGCATTTTACTTCTGTGAAAAGCAATCAAAAAAAGAAAAGCTTGCAAAGAAAGAAAGAATGAGAGGGGAAAAAATAAAAGAAGGCACGAGCAGGGGTTTCGTGAGAAGCAAGAAGTGAAGACACTCACTCCATCATGGAAGGGTTCTTAGTGGTCAGGATGTGATCAGTCAGGATCCACGGAAGGGACATTTCAATCGGGAACTGAAACCAGCCGATAGAGAAACGCTTTGAGGTTGGCTTTTCAACATAACTATAAATCCAATAACGTCTTGCATACAGCAAACGGTTGCATACGGAAGACAGCCAAGCATCTAAACTAACATCAATGACAGCCACAGACATCCAACATACACGAGAGCAATATAGTTTAAGATACAGCCACTTCGAACTTCCGCATTGTAGAACCAAATAGGAAACTAATCAACTTGAATACCCGATACCTTCTTTTCTAAATCAACATCCACAAGTTCTAAATTATGTGAATGAAGCCATGTCAGAATCTGTGTTTAAGCTTGTCGTTTAATCTTATTTCTTGCCCTGTGTGCCCTCATAGTAAGAGCAAGGCCTCAAGCCTTCTGTGCTATACGAGATTTGTATTAATAAATAGTACATTTGTTTAAATTATTTTATGTGAATTATGAACTGTTCCTGATAGCATTGTGCCATGTTTTTCTTTTCTCTTAGTGCTGCCGCTTTCATGAATTGTGTAATTTATATATGTTGGTAAGGCCATTGTCAGGCAGTTAATCTACCTTTAGCCATATCATCCCTTGACATGTAACATTTTGAGATGCAAAATGTTGAAAATAATAATAATAATAATAATAATAATAATAATAATAATAATAATAATAATAATAATAATAATAATAATAATAATAATATAATAATAATAATAATAATTAATATTATTATTAGCTACATTGAGTGCTAAGCACCAATGATTCCATAATTCCTAGGGTCAGCAGTAGAGTGGCCCGACATAAAATCCTCAACTGCTGATCCACCCTTACACACCTAGCCAGCCCACGTAAATACAGATGATACCAAATCAAAGTTGTGCTGTGAAATCAAGCTTTACGTTGGAATTTGCCTTAATTCCCCAATTGTTTGATATGGAAGATTACTTGAACCCCGAATTTCGCAGATACAGCACTGAATTGTACAAAAAATGTTGGAATAAGGAAAGCTAACAAAGTGCTTAGCTATAAATAGCGAGTCTCTACTGACATAATCTTCGAAAAGCAGGTCAGCATCAATGAGTCACAGAAAGATATAAACAAAATAGATTAAATTACACGTAACAAGAGTATGCATAATAAATATACGATAACACCATAACTGTTAGTGCAACCCCCTACATAAGTAATTACTACAATGGCAAATTACCTGGATTCTTTTCCCCATTGTCATTTCCAAGTAAAATTCTCGGTACCACAACTGGGACAGGTCACAACACTCTTGTAATGTCTCTGCAAACAGGGTCAAAAAGAAAGGGTAAAAAAATTTGGAGAGGTGTCCATCTCTACATGGATCTGAGTTGTGAGGTCTGCGCAGGGCTGACAAGTATTATCATTCCCTCTTTTCCTTTGTTTGTTTAGGGGGGGGGGGGGGCAAGGACTAGTGTAAGAGGGCAATGCTTCCCAGTTTCTGTGATGCAACAACAACGGCAGCAACTGGAAGTATTGTAGAAAACTTACAGCTAAGTAGAACTTTTACAGCAAACTACAAGAGACACTAACAGATACTGCAGCAAGTGCTATATGAAGTAGGTTGCAGTGATATCCTGTCGCTATGACACTGGTGCATATGTGGCTCTTTTCACTGTGCCTCACTAGTTATAAGGTTCAGTCTCTTCTTCGGATTGCCCAAGTTGCTTATTTAGCAAATGACGCATGGTGACACAACAGGCCACTACACTGGGACATTAAATATTCATTAGCTATGATATGTGATTCACAGATTCATTACAGATAGTCTTCTCCCTTGTGGCGACATTGCGACATTTATAAACTGCTCGCACAATTCCGTAACGTTGGGACTGCAGTACAATGAGTCCTGCCACTTTTTTTCTCCAATCAGTTCCATTTTTGCTTGCACCAAACTTTAATCTTAATTACAGTTGCACTAATGCAGCTTTCATCCTCCTCAACTCCACAGACAAACCAATCTTTTCTTTATCTCAAGCAGCCAATTTCCCAGAAATGAACCATTCCCTAGAGAGAATTAAGCTCACGAGCTAGGTTAACACAAGAATGCCTCAATTTATGCACTTTAGTGAGTGTTATCAGATATTAAAGATACAGTGACAATTGTGACATCACAAATCACTGTTATCTGTCTTAAGCTATCAATGAACTTACGGCTAAAGTTGAGTAAGTAGTTCCAGTAGAAAGATCCCTTGTGGAACCTGTCGATCTCCATGAGGGAGGGACCGTCGATGTCCTTGCGCAGGGTCCGCTTGCCGCCGCTCTTGTCGGCAATCAGAGATTCCAGCATTGTGCGCACCATGTACAACTGAAAATGATGGACAATGTATATTAAATGAAACCAAAGGCTCAAAGCATGTGTCACAGCTTCTCCTTGCACTTGTCACTTAACAGCTTGTGCTTCCAAACGCCCAACAGCCCTTGCAGACCCCATGGACTATGGTTTTGACCAGTAAATTACGGCCGATGACACATTTATGAGATGTTCACTCTCAGGCGAAAACGCTCACGAGCCTGAACTTCAGATAAACACATGGAAGATAATCTACCATTGACAGATAACTGCATTAAGCATACTGGCCCCTTGAAATTTTCTACAAAGCCAAACACAAATTAAGGCATGCTGCCAACTTCTTGGAAATCTTTTAAGATTTTGATCCTTGACTGATTGTTTTGTGTTTGTCTCAGAAGGGGCAGTTTAAAAACACACTTCAAGAATGTCTTGAGCAACTAATCACAATTTAATTACGGAAATTACCCAAAATATGACCATCAGGCCAAGAGAGATAAGTACTGATCCAGCGATACAAAACCAAAATCCCTTGGCAGGAGTGTAGCTATGCAATAAAAGTGTGCACCGAAATAGGATCTTTGCACTGTCATGAATAGTAAGTGTAGTATAGCCAAAAAAGAAAAAAAGTGTGTAGTTTCAGATTGCTGCATTACAGTCGAAACCTTATAACATCAAATGTTGTAGGCGTATTTCAAATATCCTTTTTCTTTGCACAGATTATTGTTCCATAAAGAAGCATGTGGAGCTTTGTTGAATATACTGGTTTATTTAAAAGTTCTGACTTTAACGTTCATGCAATAAAAAACAACTGAAAATTATGTTTTGAGAAAAACAAGAAATAAATTTCCCAAATGTGTTATATATACATGTGGGAAAACATGTTTGGAAAAGTTGCGGGACACTAAAAACCACCAGGCTCATATCTAGGACCTTCCTTGGTTGCCATGAGATGACTGTTACGTGATTTAGCCACTCCTAGTTTTTTTTAAGCTTGTTTTTTGTCAGCCATTGACCGGTGGCTGGCGTCCTTCAAGCGAGTTTGGTTCCTGCCTAGAAAAGCTACTCTGCTGCTGCAGCCTGTATCAACACCAACCTGCTTCAAAATATCCATTGTGCCACAATTTCTACTGCTAAACTGACATATACAATCTTATAATCCAAATAGAAAAAATTCTAGTGCCTGAATGAACATCTTTAGGGACACGCTGCCAAAGCATCCCATTGAAGCATTGATTCGCGCTTTGAGTTTTCTAGCAGACATATTTCCCCAAAATATACATATTGTCCAAACAGAGCTCTGCATACACATCTTTCTCTTTGTTCAGTGTGTCTTTGTAAAAACCTCCTTTGTGTAAGAGGTAAACAGCGTAAAAAACGAAGACAGAGAAATAGAAAGAAGGACACAAGCTTGTCTTGTGTCTTTCTATTTCTCTGTCTTCGTTTTTATGCTGTTTACCTCTTACAATGAATCGCTACCAACGTGCCCAGTTTTCAATACCTCCATTGCGCTTGTACTGTGCAGTGCCCACAGCTTTGACTCGGTTGCAGGCGCACCAACTTTTCACACTTTGCATTTGGGCCTTTTTTTTTCACTCAGAACCCCCCTTGGCCATATCTTGTTATATCCTGTATGACAACAACATGGGACACTGAAGTGATGAAGAGATAGCTTCGTGCGAAACATCGGTGCAGCATCCCCACAAGGAAATTAGCACGATTCAGAATAAAAATTGGTAGTAATTACCATTGCTAAATCTTATTAGCTTTAGCATATTTCCTTCCAACTAATCTAAATGTCTCCTGCAAACTTGAGCGTGAAGATAAGTTTGCTTTACTAATGAAAATGTAGGTCTTGTTTTCACAAGACCTTATCAGTTTTTGTTTCATGGAGGTCTACCGGTAGTTGTAAGAAACATAAAATTAACTAGAGGGACCTCTGGCACAGTGATCATTCAGCAACCATGGGAATGATGGGTCATACACGGATTTGCCAAGTCTTCATGCTTGCGGACTTTGAACTCACTTGTGGCTTTGTTTATTGTCGTGTTTTGCTTTTGTTTCGAATTAAAGAACACACAGTTGTGAACTTCATGGCCACATTTGAATCGAGCCTTAATGGCTAAGGTGGTGATGTGCAACTGCAGAACATTAGCTGAATGTCTTTCAGCAGCTCCAAGCCACTTGATGCCAAACGGAAACGGGGCCGAAAGTATGAAGATTAGACAAATTCGCGTACTACCCATCATTCCCATGCTCGCTGAAGTGCCGTGCGTTGCAGCTCCCATAGGCACTAGCGCCAGTGTTCCCTCAAGTGTATATATGCTCACTGAAGTGCTGTGCGTTGCAGCTTCCATAGACACTAGCGCCAGAGTTCCCTCTACTGTATATATGCTCACTGAAGTGCTGTGCGTTGATGCTCCCATAGACACCAGCGCCAGAGTTCCTCTAGTGTATATATGCTCACTCAAGTGCCAGTGCGTAGCAACTCTCATAGACACTAGCGCCAGAGTTCCCTCTACTGTACTACAGTCGCCGACCGTTTATTCGGACGCCGAAAATTCGGACATGCCCGTTTATTCGGACATCTTCATGGCACCTCCACTTACCCCATTGATTCTAATGTAAACTCACGATTGAAGATTCAGATGCCCCACTGTGCGCCATTCGATTATTCGGACTCTGTTTGAATGACCGGATACGTTGCCGTACGCCATTACACGCTGACAGCGACGTTAACAATATGTTTGCTTGGTTGCCAGCACTGATATGCTGCACTAGCTATGGATGGACGTCAAGCCAGTGCCAAAATGCACGCAGAGATCGCCATTGCCGATCTCGAAGGCTATGTGAGGCGACACATTTTTTATTTTAGCCAGTCGAGCAGCCAAGCCAAGCCACCTACGGAGTCTGTTCGCTGTGGGTATTTGGCATGTGTCAGTCAGCTGCTTCTGCGGCTAGGCCTGATTCGTCTTGTTCTCTGTGTTCTCGCTCTCTTGCGTGTTCCGTGGCGTGCTGAAATGGCTCCGACGCTACTCATTGCTGCGCCGTCGGGAATTAAGAAATGTGGTCAACGTGGGAGCTACAAGATGTTCACCATGGCGAAGAAAGCGGAGATCGGTCGCCAGGTAGAAGGCGGCCGACCTCAGTCTGAAGTGGCTTGGGAATTTTCTATTTCCAAGCAAACCGTCTTAGAAGCGTGCGTGTGTGCAGACTAGACAGTTTTTTCGGGCGATAGGGCCTATAAAGGTGCTTTTTTTCGAGTGAATCTGTTTTTTCGGGCTCCCGATTATTCGGACTTTTTCGGCGGTTTCCGTCGAGTCCGAATAAACGGTCAGCGACTGTATATGCTCGCTGAAGTGCGGTGCGTAGCAACTCCCATAGACACTAGTGCCAGAGTTCGTACGTTGCAGCTCTCATAGACACTAGCGCCAAAGTTCCCTCTTGTGTATATATGCTCAGTGAAGTGCCGTGCGTTGGAACTCCCATAAACACTAACGCCAGAGTTCCCTCTAATGTATATATTCTCACTCAAGTGCGGTGCGTAGCAACTCCCATAGACACTAGTGCCAGAATTCCCTCTAATGTACATATGCTCACTCAAGTGCAGTGCGTAGCAACTCCCATAGACACTAGTGCCAGAGTTCCCTCTACTGTATATATACTCGCTGAAGTGCCACACGTTGCAGCTCCCATAGACAGCAGCGCCAGAGCTCCCTCTTGTGGATAGTATATAGGAAACTCTGTGCCAAATACCAACACAGCTCTTGAACAAAACTACATACAGACATCATTTTTTCTAAAGCACAATTCTGAACATCTGTAGATGTTTAAAATATTAAAAATTGAAGTTCCCTTTTCTTTGAATAAGTAAAACATCATTTACAAGGGTGGCAAGATACTTATAAGTATTAGCAATTTGAAGAGTAACGTGTTTATAGAAGTGGATGGGCGTGTGCATAACATAATAAGAATGCAAACAAGACAGCATTTAACTAGAGATAACAGGCTAATAGCCCACTGCCCCTTCTGATGTTTATTCTAAATTCTGTTTGAAAATATATTTTGAATTCTCTACAAAATTTGAAGCCGCAGATCACAAGGGCAAAAAGGGAACACACCAACATCCCTCAAGCCTTTAAAGAAGGGGGCTTCAGTAAGCTTACAACATATGTATATTCAGCATGAACACCAGAGTGCCGTTTTACCTTTAAGATATCTCCAGCAAAACATTGACTGACTTAAAGGGACACTAAAGTCAGATAAAAATTCACATCAGAGTGAAAGATTTATGTATGACAACATCTAAAACGACAATGTTATCAAAAACAGTGCCCTACTTACCTAGAAATTACGGTAAATGTACAAGAACACATGCACAGCAGTAGGACATTCTCAAAAAGATCCCTATGACATCAGACAGACCGCCTACAATTAATCACTAGTAATCAATCTAGCTGCCCTAAATAAAGAATTTTCCATGCATCAAGAGATGCAATAAAATGCTGCTTTTTCATTTTTGTTTGATCTATGGAAAAAAGAACCGCCAGACGATACTATGGAGAATGGTGTGAGTGGTTCAAAAATTCAATTTTCACGTAGTTACACTGGACAGGTGGTGCCATCTAGCGGGGCACAGTTGAACCAAAAAACGTCTCCAATCTCAGAGCCAATGGTGGGAAATTGATCCATGGCCGTTATTGCTGCTGTGGCTCTCACTGCTTTCAGTCTGCTGCTACTAGCACAGTAAAGCCGGACAACGTTGTGCACGGCAACAGTGACGCGAGTCGGTCTGGTCGGTCCACTTCTTGAGGCGAGTAATTTGAAGTGCGCTAACTCGATGCGGATCACTAAAACATGATTTTATTTCAAAATAGGCCTTTCTTTAGCACAAAAGTAACACTACGAGGTTTCTGGAACGCTATTTCAATAATCAACGTCGACTTAATAGTTGCCTTTAGTGTCCCTTTATGTTCTCTATCAAATTATTCTACTTCTCAGTACATTATTATGACATTTTATACAGCTACAGCCCCTTACAAGATACAAGCACTTGGGAGTAGTTCGTTTCCCTTGTATAAGGTGTCTCTTATAAGGAGGGTACCACACCCTCATTTTCCGATCAACGCCTATTTTGACGTAGGGCACAGCGGTGTCTCTTACAACCAGTTGTCTGTTACATTAGTGTCCTTTATAAAGGGGTTCAACAGTATTAGCATAATCAATGTGAATGTTGGGAAGTAAGGAAGTGAGCGGACCTGCGTGCTGGAAGGGCCAACGTTTCTCCGCGGTGCAGAAATGTCAAATCCATTGTCAGGGTCCTTCTTCCCCCTGAGAGCTGGGTCCTCGTTAGGTTCTGTCCCACGCTTCCAGTCAGCACACGTCTCTCGGACAGACATGATGATGCTGCCAATGAAAAGATCGTATTTATGCAACCGTAATGCGGGCTCTCTCAGCAATACACCCATGTAGCAAACACGAATCTTCTGATAAATGTCATCCCTTTATCCGAATGCTCTGAATATTGAATAATCAAAGCATTGGAGTAGTCGCATAAACGTAGACTTCATTAATACTTGTGTCTTGTTTATGAATTAAAATTACTCTGTATAATCAACTTCTTGAAGTGCAGTTTTGACATGAGAAAAAAGAAGAAACATGGCAAGAAGCGTTATAAGACACCAAATCTGAAACATTGCAGTTTCATTTTGCATTCGGCTTTGCTGCATTAACTAGATGCCATTTAAGGGGGGACGCGGGTCTTAGAAAAGTAAAAAATGGCCAAAAAATCAATTTTGAGAAAAACGAATTTTTCGAATCTTTTAACCTATAAGCACCTCTCCTCAAATTATTAACGCTAAATTTGATAAAAAAAATAGGTTAAAATCTATTTTCAAACCATCACGGGAGTCGCAAAACAACCCGCAAAACAGAAAATTTGTTCGAACTTCCCTTGCGCGCCGCCAGCGAAGCAGCCGGCGGATCGGCGCCATCTTGGGCTTGTTTTGAAGCTGGTTCCTTTGTGCGCGTTTTGGGGCTCTCAAAATGGCGTAGCTCCAACACAACGACTGCCCTCCCTCGTTTTGCGAAGCCGTCTGCCGAACCGCTGATTGGCTAGAGCGCGCGCGCGCCAGCGAGCCCCCCGTCTCGCGCTTACCATTGGCTGACGCGGCGGCGCAGCCACAATTGCTCGCTCTTTTTTTTTTTTTGTTTGGTTTTGCTCCGTCGGCGCCTGTGCTCTCGTGCGTGTTATCTCGTCTGCTACCCGCTCGTGTACCGACGTCGCCGATGTATACGTCTTTCTGCATTTCGCCGGCATGGCTTGGGAAGCTCGCCTGAAGAAGAACACTCGTCAAGCTTTCGGCAGGAAACGAAAGCGAGCGTGGAATGCGCAGCAGAAGGGAGCGGCCTGCGCGCCGCCGAGAACGCCGGAGATGGCCAAGGCAGCGCATTGATGAAGGATGTCTGGGACAAAAATGTGTGTTTTACTTGAAATAGTGTTTTATGTATAGAAGGGGGATGTTTTTATATATAACATGTGTCTTCCTTTGGTTTTCAGTGCACTAGAACAGTCACAAAGTTGTAGACTGGGTTCCTTATACTGATTCAACAGCCAGTACACAGTTTTTAAATGAGCTGTGGCAAATATTTTGGGAAGGTGCATTGACACATTTGATACAGCCATACTCACATAATGTAGAGCTATACAACGGTGCCATTTTTATTGCTCTAGCTTCACTTTAGCCAAAGTTACAGTTGTTAGAAACTTTAAATGTTGATTGAGAATGACAAACTTGGTATCATTTTATTTGTAATAACATTACCTATGAGGTGATGCTATTTTGATTACTCTAGAAGCATACTGTTAACTACAATTATGTATAGTAATGAGCGAAAATTGAACAGAATATCCATTGTAAGTGCTGGTCTGTTTTCTTATCTATATAATGCATAAAAATTAATAAAAATAGCATCACCCCATAAAGGAAGCCCTCAGCATTGGGGCTATGCATTTATTTTTTGAATCTGGCTTGATTAAGTTGCCAAAAAGCCCCCAATGAAGTGCATAATTAATTAAAATACAGATGTTAATATCTTTTTATCCACTGAAGCTATTTCAGAAACAATTACATATTTGAAATCAGCATGAAAAACTGTCCAAGATGGTGAGGTTTGGTTAAGATTGAGCCAAAAACAGAAAAAAAATTTTAAAGACCCATGTCCTCCCTTAAGAAAGCAGCAGCAAAGTTTGAATTTGCTATTTAGATCTCGTAACATCATACAACAGCAAATTTAACTTGAATGTGCAAAGCAATATGAGAAGGAAACTCTGAATGCTATCACACCTGCGGACGAGGTCTCGCTTGTTTTTCACAGCCTTCCGCAGTGGTTCTCGCAAAGTGTGCTGCACAAATCCCTGCAGTTCATAATACACGTGTCGCCGGACGGCATCTGTGAACACCGTTTCCATTCGACTCATGAGAACCTGGTGGCCAAGAACGAGTAGTGGTAAGTGAAGCGCATCCGCATGCATATGTTCAGGTGTATAACAAATTCCAGTCCAAGGAAGAATGTCCGGATGAAAACATATGCACTGGGGCAAAAGAACTTGATCCAGTTGTATCAAAGAGGATAGGAATTATAACCTAGCCCAGTACAGCACAGTCAACAATGTAGCTACAATAACCCGATAGGAAAACTGCACTTTTAACTACTGATGTGTAGAAATTAAGCCCAGTGATCTCTCTTACGAACGCAACTTACAATTTTATGCACTTCAAAAGAAAATGTCAATACAAATGTAAAGAAATCCCATAAGCAGCTCTGTGCACTACTGGTTACTTCAGTACACAAAGGCATGCACTTAACTTCAACAGTTTCTGAAACACTTTTTTCTTTAAATGTAATATGTCTCGGGGTATACCTGCAGGCCTTTTACCATGGCTATCACTTCGATCAAGCCAAACTTTTCTTCGTCAGTATAGTTGTAGCGTGTGGCTCGCTCGTACTCCTCAGCCTCCTGTGGCCATAAAAGAAAAAAATGGTGAGTATAGAATGCTTAATATTCACATCATACAAAAGTACAGGAAACACTAAGACACAAGAAAAATAAGTTGATTGTTGTGAGCACTTAACAGTGGTTAGTGATAAGACACTAGCATATTCAATCAGCAAGTCCATTTACTCCATGTTAATAGGGCTTGCAGTGCATGCGCGGAAGTGCTGGAAGAAAAGCATACTGAAGGCGAGGAACAAAAGGCTAAGAGGGACAACTCAAGCACCCAAGTACTAGCCCAAATAGCCGTTCTTTTCCATTAACTCGTTCACAGCATCATGATGCTCATTTACTGAGACACTGATGGCTGATGAGCTTTACACACAAGTTGATCAACGATTAAAGAGAAAGGGTTGAAAAGTTTTCAGTTCCTAAGCAATACAACACGAAACTTCAATAGCAGAAGACCAAACATCTTGGTACTTCTTAGCTGGCCTTCAAATGCAGCAAGAACAGAAATACTAACCTGCGGACATTCCTTGTTCTGATGTGGGTCAGTAGGATGCATCAATTTCCATGAGTAGAGTTCTGTGACGTGAGTTGTCCAGTCAGACAGGAGCTGGAGGCCCCTAAGGGCAAGGTCGTTCAGTTCCTTGTTCTCTGCGTCAGTTCGTGGTGTTTCTTTCACAGTTGTTGTGACCTAAAATATGTAACATTCAAATTGTCTAAAAGAATTAAAAAAAAACGAGAGCACTATGCTTGTCTCTAGACCTTGACAATATTATTAAATAATGTGGAGAAAGAAAAAAACATAAGGATGTTATATCTCAGCGACATTGAAAGAAATCACTTCTGAACACAAAGGCCTTTTTTACTATTTATATTTTGAGTTTCTTTCTAAGAACACTATCAACAACAAAGCCAACCAACCACTTGGCATGAAGGCAGGCTTAATCCACCCTAATGCTACTATTCTACATAATGCTTGCATTTTTTATACTTATAATCACTGTCTCATAGCCAAAGTGTCTAATAGGGTATGGACGTGCATTAATAACAGTTTTTTCCTGCATTGAGCCTTCCACGAAATGTGGACAGTACTACACAGTTATATACTGTCATGCACAATATGAGAGGGAGCCCTCGCCTTTTAAATGTCATAGAGACCGGTTGGTGAGCACAAAAGGGTTTGTACAGTCGCCGACTGATAAATCGGACACCGATAATTCGGACATGCTCGGTAATTCGGACAGTCGCGCGGCACTGCCGATGGTCCAATAGAAGTAATGTGTAAAGACGACCGATATTTCGGACAGCTGCCAGATCTACATTCGATAATTCGGACCCTGCCCGACTGTCGCGCACGCCGAATCAGCAGCCATTTTCTCCTCCGGCACTCAAACCATACAAAGTATGGCCTCAGAGATCAAAATGAAAGCTACATAATTGGTAATCTATGAGGCTTTATTTCGATTGCAACTTTATGCCTCAGAGATTTGTACTTAAAAATGCCGATCTTGGAGGCACGGCTTAACTGTGGGGGATCGTATCGACATCGCGATCATCCCACATTCCGGTTCCTGTATACCCTCGCTGTGCGGCTATCCCCCCATTCTGTCACATGTGTGCACGGTACAGCGTTTTGCTGAATTCTGCGCGCGTTCATATTTATTTTGAGACTTGCTTTATTTTACGTCCAGCTGTCTCACAAGATCTGAAATTAAATAGCACCAACGGTGCCCTCACAGCCAGCGCCGAAGGCCGCGCCGACGAAACGCCGCAGATATACAATGCTAACCATGGCAAAGAAAGCAGCCATCATTCAGCAAGTGCTCAGTGGTCGTCCGCAAGTCGAAGTTGCTCGAGAGTTCAACATTTCGAAGAAAACCATATCGGACTACATGAAGAATAAGGACAAGATTTTAGGCGCGACGGAGACATCATCCGGAAGTGAACAAAAGGGGGTGCGCCAAGGTGTTCATCCGCAGTTGGAAGAAGCGTTGAGCATTTGGCTTAACGCTACCGTCGCTCAACTGGTTCCCGTTTCCGGCCACCTCTTGAAGCAAAAGGCCGAGACATTGGCACTTCGCCTTGGCATCGATGGATTTAAGTTCAGCGATGGCTGGCTCCGGAACTTTAAAAAGCGGTACGACTTTGCTTTCAAAAAAATGTGCGGCGAGAGCGGTGCCATGGATAGCACACTGGTCGCTAGCGAACTACCTCGGTGGAAAGTTGGTGGAGCTGCTTTGGCGCTACTCGGCTGACGACACCTTCAACCTTGATGAAACCGGGCTTTTCTATAAGCTACTACCGGAGAAGACACTCGCCCGTTCTGGAGAACCTTGCCACAGAGGTAAACTCAACAAGGAACGAGTCACTGTCGTTGTCGGCTGCAACGCTTCTGGCACAGAAAAGCTCCCGCTGCTGGTAATCGGGAAATCGAAAAACCCTCGATGTTTTAAGGGGAAAAAAAATCTGCCTGTCTGGTACGAACCCAATACGAAGGCGTGGGTCACGCAGAAGCTGTTCGCAGAGTATGTTGGAAAATTGGACCGAAAGTTTGAATTGCTAAAGCGCAAGGTCCTTTTGTTTGTAGATAACTGCTCTGCCCATGCGCTGATCAGCTGTCTGAAAGCCATCGTGCTAGAATACCTGCCGCCGAATACGACCAGTATTCTGCAACCTATGGACCAAGGTATTATCGAGAATTTGAAGGTGCTGTATCATTCACGCTTGCTGCAGCGCGTGTTGCTCTGCTTAGAGAGCCAGATAAAATACAACGTTGATTTGATGTCAGCCGTGAACATGCTTGCTGATGCCTGGAAGGCAGTGTCAGCAGGCACGATCAGCAACTGTTTCCGGCACGCAGAATTTACGTTGCCTAGTGAGCCCAACATCGCTGACACTGCAGCCGAAGAACCCGACAATGCAACTGAAGAGCCGGACCTGCCGCCCAGCGCATCGAGCTCAGGTGTGGACGTTATCGACGACCTGCGGAGCTGCGGTGTGCCGATTCCCGACACTGTTACGTTTGAAGACTTTGCAAACGTCGACAGTGCAGTGTCGTCGTGTGCGGAATTGAATGACAACGACATAATTGAGCAGGTTCTGCAACCGTCAGACAGCAGTTCTGACTCTGACGATGATGACGCGCCGTGTGCTCTGGAGCCGTCGCGTGCGGACCTGTCTCGAGCCCTCGCTGTTCTTTCGTCGTCGTACAGCGATCGTATCACACTGGCGGAGATACAGGCGGACTTGCGTGCCCGTAAGCGGAAGTGCATGCAGCAACGCATTAACGACTTTTTTCGGCCACCGGTAGACTGAAGTGTCAATAAAAGTTTTTTTTTTTTCGACGCATTCGTTTTTTTGGACTTTCGATAATTCGGACTTATTTGCATTCCCTGTGGAGTCCGAATTATCAGTCGTCAACTGTAATACTAAATGGTGGAAAGGCATCTCTTGCAAATGAATAGATCACATTTATGTAGGTAGGTTACAAGTAATCATTGATAAAACACGAATTCGCTGTCCCCCCCTTTCCCTCTCACACTGCTCACAACATCAAGGATATTAGATTCAGACTCATATCTCGTCTTCAGCAAACGCAAACTTTTTAGTTTCAATAAAGCGATGCAGTGCAAGAAAGGGCACTGCACCGAGTGAAGGTAGAGAAGAAGGCTACCTCATTGCTGTGACGTGCGAGTTCGCTGATGTAGCGTTCGTAATCGTCACGTATGGCTGGCAGGTGCTGCAGGAGGTCAGACTGAGGGCTGGGACTGCTTGAACTGGCCAATGGCCAACGGGATGCCTCGTAGTGTGGACTGCACTTAATGTAGTGGAATGGTGCTATCTGCATGTCTCCAAACAGTGGCACCATCTCCAGAGCCTACATAGAGGGGCATGAACAGAGTACCACTGTTTGCGGAACAGAATCGAAGTACAAGACTTACAATTACCGTAATTACTCGAATCTAACGCGCACCTTTTTTTCCGGTTAAGCGAGTTCATAAATCGCATGCGCGTTAGAATCGAGTACGAACAAAAAAATTACGGTCAATCTATTGCCATCGCAAATCCAAAAATGGCCGCCCCCTACGTGCGTCGGCATGGCGCGTCGGCTATTTCTGCCTATGTGTTTCCCATGTGCGGCGCTTCGTACGTGTGCTGAGGAGTTCGTCATCTAGTAGTGCATTAGCATCGACGGCGTGGAAGGGCCGACTCCAAAAACTCGAGTGCACCATGATGCCGCTTTTAAAAGAAAAGTCATCGCGTGTGCAGAAACGGACGGAAATCGGGCCGCATCGCGGTCGTTCCCGAAACGTGCGTGCGGGACTGGCGGAAACAAAAGCAGAAGATTGTCGACAGCAAAGCTTCATGCAAAGGTTTCAGTGGACCACAGCAGGGTCGGTTTCCGCAAATTTAAGAGCTGCTCGGCGAGTATGTGCTTGAGCAGCGAGCGGCACAGCGCCCCATGACGACAGAACTGCTCCAAGTGCGGGCTATGCAATTAGTCTTAGAAAAAGGTCTAATGCGGAGCCAGTTTAAAGCGAGCAGGTGCTGGCTAATTAACTATATGAAGAGGAAAGGCTCTTCCCTCCGAAGGGGAACATGCATATGCGAAAACTTTTGCGGAGAAGTACGATGAAAAGCTTTACAGTTTTCAGAGGTTCGTCCTAAACTTGCGGCGCAACAACGGCTACCTGCTTGGGCAAATCTGGAATGCGGATCAGACGCCTCTTTACTTTGACATGCCTGGCACCACAACCGTCGAGAAGAAGAGGCCGAAGCAAGTTTGCGTGCTGACACGGTAAAACTACAGTGACGGCAATGCTCTGTTACACGTCAGATGGGCACAAGCTTTGCCCGTACCTCATATTTAAATGGAAGACAATCCCGAAAGGAATCGTTTTTTCGAGTGGTGTGATCATGCGGGCCAGCGAAAAAAAATGGGTGCGCGTTGCAATCGATGTCTTACGTTTTTTTTTTTTTTTTCGCGGTGGAAATCGGGTGCGCGTTACAATCGAGGGCGCGGTAGAATCGAGTAAATACGGTATTTGTTCAGCTGCGTTCACCAAGTCTGCCTCTTAAAGCTAAAGAGAGAAGCAGCAAAAAGCTCAACCTTTTAGCTTCAATTTCAAGATTCAAGATTTAGCTACAACAGGGTAACGCGACCTCCATATTGACTTATGCAAGTCTCATAGGCATTTTTGAAATTTGGTGCGGAACACCATAGTGACTTCTAGTATTAACATACAGATCTGATGGATGCCTATTACAGTAATTGCAATGATCAGAAAGAAAAAATAAATGACAAGAACGATGCGCTAATAATCAAATTCATAGAGAGGCAACTGCAATAGAGCGCTGCAGTACTTTTTCAATCATACAGCGAAGGGCTTTGACATTATCATCCGACAGGAACTGCTATTCTTCTTTACAGAACACAGCAAAAAAAGGCATGTTTGTTGCCGCATAACTGTCTTTTTTCCTGTCATGCCTCTATATCTTGAACAAGTTCAAAAACATGTGAGCATAAAAATAGCCTTCTATAAATGAGTATGGCACAGTAAACAAAATCATACCATACGCAACTCCTTGTGTCTCATCTCGCATAACAGCTTCAGCCAGCATGTCAATAATTTTGGTAAGAGAATTCATTTATTGTTAGTATGTTTCCTGATGCAAAAACATTTCACAGAGCGAAGAAAGTTTGCTGCCAAATAAAAAACATAGACTAATGTTCCATCAAAGGGTAAATGTGCGCTGGCTGGTAGAAAAGTTAACACACACAAAAAAGAGAGAAAAAAAATTAAAAAAGAATAAAATAGCTGTCCATAAAACAGCTGCTAAGTGTCCCATTTATCAAGTTATTAAACACTGCTACAATAATTCTCATTCTTTTTAGATTAACCTCTTCAGGCATGAATTACGACGCACTGTCTTCAAATTTACCAAATTCACATACCATAATTCTAAGGCACTGGGTATTGCACTCCAAGAAAAAAAAAAGAAAGTACTAATGTGTATGTTGTTTTGTGTGAGCTTCAGTAATTAATTGTAACTAGCATGTAATCATATACTTCATTATTAGCTATGTTCCATTTTGACATAAAAAGAATGAAATCATAGGCTGCAAATATGTGTGTAATTATATTTTGGCTGCATTCATTTTTGAAAAAAAAAAATAACACTTTTAATGTTGGTTCTCATATGCTGCACGTTGAACGACCCATTCAACATCATAGCACGTTCACTAAAGCGATCGATTAAAGTCGTTTGCATTGCACTGAGATTAAGTCAATACATGCTGACTGTGCGGACGATAAAATTCCTGTATTGAGCTATGCATCTCACTTTCTTTTGACCACAAGCTGAAACTACTGACATAAACAAGAGAAGTCTGACTGTTTCAACTTAAGTTTCATCAACACCAGTAGATTTGGTTAAAGCAGTAATGTATTCGAACCTGATCAACCTGGTCACTTGAAATTACCAGGAAGAATGACAACACTACTGTATTCAGATCCATCCTTTACAGAGCTTCTTACAGAATACATCTAGCGTGTTGGGTTGCACAGTCTGGACAGGCCCAATAGAATGTGCGTAGGCAACAGAAAACAATCTGACCTTGAATATCTTGTCAATCTTGCTGATGTTAATCCGCTTCTTCTGGTCTTGTTTGTTGATGTTGCACACCTCTCCATCCATTAGAAAGAGACCAAATCCCATCACCTAAGAACAGGGAAATCAGGAAGCCATAAACAGTCAGCAAGCAGTTTTTTCGAAACGGCCACTGACAACAAAATGCACAAAATAATTTTGCCAACCACAAAAAAAAAAACTGTGTTTTCTTCGTATCACACATATCATGAGGAAGCACAAGAAGTAGAAATATCAATAAAATGTTTCGTCAAGCTACATGATCCTTTTAAACAGCAAGAGACATGTCAAAAAGCTAACATCACGCAGTCTCTTGATACAGCTGCGATAAACAAAAGGCTAAGAATCTCGCGTTATTTTTTGAATCATTGCATATCATATGTATTTCACAAGCCAGCTGCGACCTAAGCCAGCGTACATCGCGTCAGTAGTTAGAAAAATACTCGTAGGCTACATTAGTTGCGCGCAGTGCTGGTCGAGCAATCGTTTCAAGGTGAATCTTGCACACGAGGCGCCCAACTACAGATACGTACTGGCTCGCATTCACACGCAGTAAAGCGACCTACAAATGTGGGAAATAAGATGGCCACTACTGCAGCTTAACAATAACCCCACCACAATGGGCCTGTTTCTGGGCTATCAAAATACTGCAATGACCTTCCACTGCCTGTACTGCTCAGACTTGGTGCCTAGCAAATTCTTGCGCTTCATAACAAAATGTAATCGACTTTTTGGCAAGAAACAGGATTCACACATAGATTCACACATGTTTTTTATGTTAGACTGCTTTATTAAAAAAAATGCAGTTAATCTCACTTATTGGGGCTAAACAGGGGGAGACTAAATTGTGAATGTAAACTTTTCATAAACGGAAGCTTTAGAGTGTCAGTCCTTACTTTGAAAATTCGATGACCATTGTGTGGTGTACTCACTTTAACCAGCATGTGCTTTTCTGCAGGCAGCATGTACATTTTGGTCTCGTACATTTGGACACAGATGTTGACAATGTCTGCTAAGAGGTCATCATAGCCAACAATTTTCTCCAGAGTCTCCTTGAGCGTATCCCGTATTTTGTTCTGCGTCGCCAGGAACATGGACAGGTTCTGCGACTCCTGAAGTGCTTGAGAGTCAGCCATTACTTTCAGGAACTGGGCTGCCCTGGAACAAATATTAAATAAACTTAATATATAGGATGGAAGCTTCCATGATTGGACTGAGCAGAATCTCGTGTCTAACCAAGAGGACATGAAAAGAACAATAGGCAAGAAACTGAGACATAAGATCGATACGATACCTAACCTGTACACCATTAAACTCATAAGATGTTCATACAATTGCAAATTACTACTGTATGGAAACAAAAACAAAAATACTTAAATATAAGTTTAACCTCCATGCCTACTTCGAGAGTACCTACTTAGAACTTGATGCGTTTTGCCAGTAAAGACAGTGCAACATGCATTTCTAATCTTTATGTGATAACAACGATAAGATGTATTTTATCCGTGAAGGGGGATTCCATTACTTTCATCATCTTTCACAATCTAGCAGTAATAATTTCTGGGGTTTAGCATCTCAAAACTACAATACGATTATGAGATGCCATAGTGGCGGGCACTGGAAGTTTGGACTATCTGAGGCTCTTTAACATGCAGCTAAATTTAAGTACATGGGCCTCAAGCATTTAATTTTTGCCAGCCAAGGCCAAAATTCGATTGCGTGACATTTAAAATTAGAGTGAGGCACTCAGGATTCTCATTGTAACAGATAAAACAGTATTTCCACCTGTACCTTTGCAAGGCACCACAGCACGGATTTACATGCATCTAAGACTACACACGCTCATCGCAGACGCAATACTATACAATTTGCATATTTAAAACACATGATAATGAGAAACGTACCTCCTGTAAGTTGCATAGTCATTCTTCACGCTTGATTTCATGTTCTTCAGCTCATCCAGCACAGCAAACATATTGATGAACTTGCCAAGGGTTAAGAGATAGGCTTCTGACACGAAGTCTTTCCGTTTTTCAGCATGGCACAACCTCCTAACCTCAGCTGTGAACCGGTCGATTGCCCTCCTCTGAAAGGGCAGTTAGATGCTGCAATCACTGCTAACCATTCTTTCCAGCTAAGCAGGGTGGCCCATAATGCGGCATCCAAAGAAGTACATTGAAGCAATAACTGAGCACTATGCCTATGCCAGTAGCATACTAGACATAAGCTTTTGTAGAAAGCTAACAGATGTGCGAATGTGGGCTCGGACACCAACTGAGAATGTTCACAAAACGCAAGCATTGATAATTAGAAAAAAAAAAGAATATGTGAACCCATAAAAGCTGAATCACTATTTTACTTCCAGAAAAATAACTTCATTTTTATTTTTGGTTAGGAAAGTATATTCACACTAATAAATGATTAAGTGGTATACAAGCAATATTCTTTTTGGTGATCAACAATTCGATTGCTCAGTTACGCACTATTGACACTTCACTCCAGAATGTCAAAACTGATATATAGTTCTTGCATAGGATGCAGGGGATCAAATTTAAACTGTCACATATGACACATTCAGCCTTTCACCCTTGTGGAATTTGACTTTGAAAGCAGTCACAGTGAGAAGGTATACAAAAGTACCCTTCTGTGACAAATTTTACAAGGGCTCTGCAACACACTTTTCTGAGAAATCATCAAATGGCTTAATTCAAATAAAGAACTTATTGCCCAAGACATTTCAGAAGCTGTCAGGTACAAACAGAGCTACAGTGATCTGTTGAATGCGTCAGGCACTTCCTCTTTCTTTTCGTATCAGCAAGCATGTTAAAAGCTTCATGAGAGGAGGTGGGGGCATGACAAGGTGGCCAGAAGACATTTATTCGTTGGCGTGTGTCAGGACCTTGAGCACTTTTTTTTTCTTTGAACGTGCCGCTTGCTTTAAGTGTGATCGCAAGCGCATGTTCGGCGATGTGGTGCCATTCGCACGGTAGCTATGAATTGGTTTATGGCACCATTCATCGAGAAAATAAGGTACAATTTATAATTGACTTTGGCAATTAATTGGAAATTCCAAGCCACGTGATGCACTATATTTCGCTTGCATGCTCTCAGGAGCCTGGATTACTAATTTGCAGCCTTCCCTGACCATGCTGAAAAACCACTGCAAGGTCCCATTTTAAAGAATGTGAATGAACAAGAACCTTTGGTCAGGCAACACAACAATAGCTTAGATTTGTAAACAATATGTGCATTGATAAGCATTAGGAGACCGTGAAAAGCATCAAAATAGCCAACACTGGTTCAGACAACCAAAACCAGTGGTAAAATTGAACAGGTAGCATACTGCACAAGCATGAAGGAAGGAAGCAGAAAAAGACAGAAATGAGAGCCAACTTTTAACTGTTTACTAGTTCAGAATAACAAGCCAATATATATGCAATATAAGTGATCCTCCCCTTCTTCTTTGCTTTTTTTTCGTTGTGTTAGTACAGTATACTACTCATTCATTCATATGAACCGATTAGCTTTACAAAAAGGTCTTTCTGAAGTTAAAAATCTGGCAACCCAAGCATCAGTGATATACTCACATTTAAGAAATATTCTGTTTATAGCTATCAAAAAAAAAAAAAGGAAGCAGAAACTGCAAATAAATGGCAGGAGGAACAACCTTAAGTTGTCCCTCCTGCCTCCTCTCCCAATATAACACTGTGACATCCTTTAGTTTACCAAGGTACAGCTTGTACATAGAAACACTCTAAAGATTGTAGTAAAGAATAGTGAAGAATGAAATTATTGCCTCGTCCTTCCTAAATGTCCTTGCGTTGTAAGCTTCACTTTCTTAAGTGAACAAGCCTATGAAAATGCAATTTGATGCCATTTTGTTCAGTGGGATTGAAAGAAAATTCACAGACAACGCATGTGATGCAAGTAAACCGCTTTTGATGTCATACCTGAAAGTACATGAAGTTGAGCAGCTTGTTCACCTCGGGTGCGAGTACTTCAACAGTTTTTTCATAGATCTCTACCCTATTTGGTTGCTCATTTGACTTGGGCTAAAGAGAAAAACGCAACATAGTTAGAGTTATGCAAACAACAAAGCAATAAAAAATAAGATAAGATAAAAGGTTTTACCTGCGGAATGGCACGTGAGCAACACCTCCACGTATAAAGCATGACCGCATGCTCTTGTCCTTGCTCAAGCATTTCATTCTGCAACATATCAAGAGTACTTGTTATGTTATGCTGAGGTGTTACAAGAAAAGTACTATATAAAAGGTGCACATATAAAAAACATAAGAGCCAGCCAGATCAACTTTCAGTGCAGTGCATGCAATTGTACACGTTAACAGTGTGCATCAAACACCAAAAGGTAACTTCTAGAATTTTATGACCGGGAAACTTCACCATGAAGATGGGAAACGCTGTAGTGGAGGGGTTGAATAATTATGACCACCCCATGATTTCTTTAACAAGCACCCAAATCAAAGCACACCACTGTTTCTGTGCCCACATGTTTAACTGCCCATATCATAAGTGCCAAGTTACCAAGGCGGGTAAAACACAATAATGACATAAAATACACCACAGCAATAATCTAAAGCAATTTGCATATGTCTTGAAGCCATTTGCAGCAAGCTGTGAATAACATAAATAAGGTGTTAAAAAACGAGTTGGGAATTTGGGTTGTTAACTTGCTCTTCGTGTCAGCATGTGATTGCGTGGTTGATCTACTTCTTTCAGTATCTTTTCTTTATATTTTACATCAAAAATATTTTTTTCAAGAGGCTGGGTACGTGCTTTCTTATTGTGTAAGGCGTGAACATGATGATGTTCTAATATTAGTGTTCCTGTAGAGAGATGGAAATGACATTTTATAAGTTAGGCAAAACTAAATTAGGCACAATAAATTCTTGAACTTCTGCGAAGTTGCACATGTTTCTTGACTGTGACAATACAAGATTTGTGGTGAAAACAAGTTTCCAGTAAACAGAAATAAGTAATGCCTCAAGAGGAAATTAAGATGAATAATTGCAGCTGATGCAACCATAAAAGCTAGCATACTTATATGCAGTGCTTTGCTGCAAACTGCATTCCAAGAGTGGAAAAAAAAATCGCATATCCTGTGAGCACAAGACACAAGAAATCAGACATTAACAATACATGAATATCTCCTGCAGGAGTGTTCCAATATGACACAGTGAAAGAGAAAAGCAGCATTTAAAATTTTTGCTTTCATGCTGAAGTCATGGAAAATTCAGATTGTGAGAGAACATAAGTTGTTGTTAAGTATTTATCCAAGCAGCATGGAAAGTTAAGTGAGGTCTGTAAAGACAATGTTTCAAGTGACATGCAGCACACAAGATGAGACATGAGCAATAGAAGAGCTAGAAGACTTTCAGTAGACATATTTAAAGCAATTGGAAAGAAAGCTAGCCTGTCCAGCCAACCGAGTTAGGACAATACACTTTGTACAGATACCTCGGTGCACACATGGCATTGAATACTTTGGCATACATCTTTAGCAATGTTGCAGACAAATCCAATTACTGCGCTGGGACCCTGGTGAAGATAATGCTCACAATTACAAGTACATTGCTAGCTCCTAGCAACACAATGATATATTGACAGATTGTGTTTCGAGCATATTAGTAGAGTAAGAGCTTACAAGCTCGGCATGGACGGTGGCTTCTTCAATGTACTTGGCGACTCCTGTGACAAATGCATTTCGGTCTTCAAAGTTGGTGTCGAAGTTGGCGTGATACACTATGCTGCAGGGCAGGGCTTCGATGCAGGGCTGTTGATCCGGTAGCGGCAACTCGTCCAACACATCGACGTTGGACAAGGCGTCGGCTAGCGTCACCTCTGCTGCCATGCTCCTGCCTGTTGCGTCGGTGGCAGCAGCAGTTTCGGTCCTCTGCTCGGCCGACTCTTCACCGCTGCCGACGCCGGGTTGTCCCGCGTCCTGCGACATAGTTGCACGGCGCCAAGCGAGTGAACTCTCTTTCAACGTATTTTCCAAGCTTCCCTAAACACTAGGAAAGGTCGCACTCGACGGTAGAATATTCTGGAGCTGGACACACATCGCGCTACATCTCAAGTGCGATAGCGTGGCCATCGCACTTCAGATGGGAGGGGCTTAGCGCTATCGCTTTTACGTATACATATCTCTTTCCAGCCAGCCGGAAGATGATACAAGACGCGTTAGTCAGCTTCCGAATCACACTTGCGCGATCGCTACGGACAAACCACACGGGTACGGGCGGCCACGCAACACGCAGAGTGGACGCAAACTTTGTTTGGGCGCCTTGTGGTTCTTATCACCACGCTTAGCAGACATGTTTACACTTGAGTACTGTTTTATTACCTGACATAGAACAAATTTCATCATATCGGGATCGAAACATGCTGAAGAAACATTGGGGTTACTACTTGTTTCCGGAGTTCCCTTGCCCCACTATGTCATTTTTAATTAAAGATCACTTAGCGAAGGTTCGCGGAAGCAAGACATGTGTGTAACCCGAAAACAGTTTGCTCTGAATATGATTCGGAAGCCGCTACAAACCTCAGCGAGGGAAAAACGCCAGCCTTGAACTACCGTCCCAGTAACTTTCGGCACTCCCCAACAGCCAAAAAGGCAGCCATTTTGATGCTTTTACAAGGAGCGCCATCTGATAGCATCAAAGCACTTCACGCGTAGTAAGAAACATCAAGCAACTATGGTTAAACAACACGAAACCTTTTAATTGTGCTAATTATGTGTCATTGAATCTTGCAAGCTATTTCAACCCACATTAATTCATCTAATAGTTTTCAGCATTGAAATATTTTGGCAGCGTCTTCTGCACTGTGCGGTGCAGCAGCTATCCCCACACAAAACTGGCTTCTGCACCGCAAAGAAGTGACGTCACTTAAAAAAATTATTACCTAAAGCTAATTAAATGTCTAAATTATTCGTGCTTATTGCGTTTAACCTACAAAACTTTTATTAAAAAGGTGTTTAACGATTAGTTCAGGTTTGTTATTTAAATACAAATTACAAGTATTTTGAATACAGGGGGCGCCACGGGCGCTGCAGCTAAAGGTAAACACTGCGAGATAGTAGCCGCCTGCGATGTGTTGATGGTGAAAACTCCGATGAAATCTTGGCCATGGCCTAGGCCACTCCCAAGGAGGACTGGAGTGTCGTCGCTGCGATAAACAGAAGGCTAAGAATCTCGCGTTATTTTTTCAATCATTGCATATCATATGTATTTCACAGGCCAGCTGCGACCTAAGCCAGCGTACATCGCGTCAGTAGTTAGAAAAATACTCGTAGGCTACATTAGTTGCGCGCAGTGCTGGTCGAGCAATTCTAGCCACCATATCGTCGCTGCTTCATGTGATTGCTAAATGCTTAGTTGAACCTGGTGGTTGGAGCTAGCGCGGCCATCCACCGCGCCGCAGCTTCATCTGAGTGTGTGCGCCATAAAGTTTCTCAGTATGATGTGCGGATTACAGTCGTCGGACGTACTGCATTTTCTAGATTGCAATGCCAAGCGTGGTGTTGTCAAAGGTGAAAGTGTTCTTGCTGCCGAGTTTTGCTTGTCGCGAAGGACAAGGTCGACGATGAAATAAATGCTTTCGCACGGTTCACGTGTGACTGACCGGACGCACATGCATGAAACCCCAGTGCGTCGGCGAAGTGTTCATACGATGGATGGAAAAAACTTTATTGTAATGTTCTTACGAAGCCTGTGATCTCCGAAGGCCAGAGCTACTGCATTGCCGTCTGTTTTGTCAAGTGCGAACACGTACGGCCGTTCTCATTCGTTGCTACGTGAATGCTCCCGTGCTGTCACAGGCCGCGCGTGTTTTTGAGCAACGCAGACAAGTAGATGGGCTAAAGCCGTCGGCACTTGCCCTTGGGCATTGTTTATCAAGTGCTGATCGCCGAGAACATTGCGGTGACACGTCAGTATTTTTAAAGAAAGCGGCCTGCCGGTTACCTCGTCAGGTGATGGTACACTGAGCGACATAAAAAAAGTTGCCCAAGACTACGTTGCGGTACACCTTTCTGTCATCAAGACTTTGATAAACCGTGGAAATCAACATTCCTGACACCTGTGCTGAAGAAACCAATGCAGCCAGCTGCATCCGAGTTTTTTGTGGCTTTTTGCGTCTCGCCGATTAAGAGCACTAATTCGCAAAACACTTTATCATAATAAATATAGTCAATCCTGCAAGCGTCATCGAAGATCCAATATTAAAGGGCCTGTGGACGGGACCACCACCAGCAGCAAGTTGGGCTAATGAGGAGGCGCAAATGTTAAAACAATACATGCGTGAACAAAAAAAAAATAAAAGTAGTATTGATAACTGCAATGGGATTTGAACCACCGACCTCACCAGTTTATGTGTTGGTTAAACCAACTACGCCACAGCTGCCGATCGGTTTGAGGTGACAAACAAGCCTGTTTTGTATTGTTGTCACGCGAAACCTAAATAATATTTTTGTTCACTTTTTCGTTTGGACGTAATTTTAACGGCTTTTATTGTTATGTCTAGACGTACCGCTAGACACTCCCGACTATTCAAACAAAGCGCCTAACCGGAAAATGCAACACGTCACTTCCGTGCAGCGCAGCAGCCGTTTCTGTGTGGGGATGGCTCGCGCGGCGCAGCAGTCTCTGCCAGATATTTTAGACTAATCTAACCTTGTAATGCCCAAATTATTATACATGCCACGCCGTTTTTATAATGCGGAGTTATTTCATAGAAAATGTATACACCAGCGCAGTGCTTGAAACACATTTGATGTGCTACTGGACAGCTTGCACTGTCTACTGTATTTTACTGAATAGAGCGGTTGACTGGGCTAGTTGGTATGGCATACTTGGGTTTTAGCAGCGCGAAAAATGCACAAAAGACAAGAAAGGGACGGTGCATGTTATGCGGTGCATGTTATGCGGTGCATGTTTCTTGCGGTGCATGTTATGTGGGCCAGACGGGCAGATGCCTTAACGATCGCTTACGGGAACATGCCAATAATGTTCGTGGCGGAAAAGATGGCTTCTTAGCGCAACACGTGAGCACGTGTGGGTGCATTCCGCTGTTTGAAAAAACAACAGTTCTATGCAAGATTAAAGAGGAAAACGTGCGTATAATTTATGAGGCTGCTCAAATGGAGCTTGAAAGCAGCGCATGTGTAAGCAAGCCTTCAGTTGCCCTTTCAGATAAAGAGATATGTTTCTTGAGATGCGAGGGTAGGCGCAGCAGGCATGGCGTTAGTTGATAATTTGTATCTTAAAATACGTCATTTTTTTCACTCTTTGTGCTCCATTGCATATTAACGGTCTTCCCGTCAATAAAATTTTAGTTGGAAGTCAGTGCTTGTCTCGTCCCTTTCTTGTCTTTACTGAATGACCAGCGAGTGAAGCACCGGCACGCCCTTTCAGGTATTGGCGCCTGCCGCTATGCGCCCTGTGGCGCTGCAACTTACCTCATCCGCACAGGTTACTGGCGACCAAAAATTGGGTCGCCGCGCTTTTTTTTTTTTTTGTGGTTTGCTCGCGCGAAGCATTCGTCCGACCATTCGTTCATGCTTCCGTCCGTCCATGCGTCCATCTGTGTGACCGTTCATGCGTCCGTCCGTCCGTGCGTGCGTCTGTTCGTGCGTAAGTCCCTGCGTTCGCCCATGGATGCATCCGCCCCTGCGTCCGTTCATGCATCCATCCATGCATCTGTCTGTGTATCCGTTCGTCCATCTATTCAACACTCTAAGTACAACCATCTCGCATCTTTTCACCACATGTTTCGCATATAGAAGCACAACCATCCAGCGGACATTCCAAGGACTAAACGAGAGGTGGCACACGTACACTTTCTTACGGCTTGCGCTTCGGGTCTACTTCCCACTTTTAATTACCTCGAGTTCATGGTATATACTAGTTCACTGTATTCATGGCACTACGGCACAACGCTCGCTAAACCTTTCTAAAACTAAGGAGGTTACACCCAGCGAGTATAACGTAGCAACCCTTTCTTGTCAGATATTGCTCAACGTACATGCCAATGGCTGCTAATGGGGATCGCAGCGTGCGCATTAACTAAAAGCCGGATGCTCCTGTCTTTCATTCCCCTTTAGCAGCCATTGGCATGTACATTGACAGCGGCGGCGCCAGGGGGGGGGGGCAAGGGTGGGCTGGAGCCCCCCCAAAATTCTCGCCTGCCCCCCCTATGCCCACCCAAGTGCTCGGAAGCATATATTGAAAACCTAGTAGGAGCAGAGCTAGCTTGCCCCCCCGGAGGAACTCACTTTTCGTGGTTGCCCCCCCAGTAAAAACATCCTGGCACCGCCCCTGTACATTGAGCATTATTTTTTTATTGTTCAACAACGCACAGAAGAAATCTCTCACCGGCACCACCTTAGAGGTCAAAATGTTATACTTGTTACATACTACAACGGTTACGAGTGACGAACGGGTGCCGTTATAAAAAGCTTAGTCCCTGAAATGCAGCCATACTGTGCTGCGCGTTGGGGTACAAGTCTTGTCGATGCGCTTATGGTTGAAGATTACGAAAATGACAGATATCACAGTGCACAGGACACATTGTTGACAGAACGAGCACAAACTTCAATTGGTCTTTTATTCATGCGTATTAGATATACTTAAATGTTCATAAAAGCACGTGGAAAGAGATTAGTACACAAAGCTTTGAGTACAAGCTAGCCTATTATAGCCTTGACAGAGTATTTTCGGAGGTGGTGGCGCTAGTGGTATTTTAAATATATTTATCCTAGAACAAGAAGAAAAAAAAAAGGGGGGGGGTGTCACAGAACGAGCGCTCAAAATGGGCGCGCCGCCAAATTCTTGCGATAACGCGCCGGAGTGACGCCGCGAGGCCAACGGAAAAAAAAGAAGAAAACAAACATCTAAAGGCTCCCCGGGCACGCGACGCTCTCCCCTCGGAAGCGTGGCTTCGCCGATGAACCTCCTCACCCCACAGTGGCGGCCGGGCAAGCACTGGAAAGTTCTAGAAGGAAAGGGGCGTGTTCTGCCGGGTTGAGTCATCGGTCGGGGACGGCCCTCGTACAGTGTCGCGCCTCTCCCCAGCCTTCGCTGCGTATCGCGCCGACGAAAGGACGAGAACCTTCTGGAAGGTCGCGCGGAAGGTATTTAACTGAGCAGCGGAGATGAGAGATCAGGAGAAGACGGAAGTTAGCGCAAGAGCGCGTAGGGTACCCCGCCGTGTAGTCGGCGAAGGTTTTGTCCGTAGGGACAAGGCAGGAGAAGTGAAGTTTCCTGGAAGAGAAACTTCGAAGGAGAAGACGGAAGTTAGCGCCAGAGTGCGTAGGGATTCCGCCATGTAGTCGGCGAAGGTTTTGTCCGTAGGGACAAAGCAGGAGAAGAAGAGGATTTCCACCTGAGGGGTGAAGGCTCGAGCTACAGGCAAGAGAGTGTGTTTACCGCTATCGAGCGAAGACGCGTGGCGACAGCTGCGTGTGTGAAGCCGACGTGTTCGGGCGAAGAAGTTTGAAGCTTGGAGAGTGGCCAATTGAAGACGCGAGGTTTCCTGGAAGAGAAACTTCGAGGGCGCGGAACGACAGCACCGGTGGACTTTAAGTGAGTGATTCTCGGAAGAGTATCATCCAGACT